TGAGAGAAGAAGAACAAAGTCTGAGAGTATCAGCAAATGTACAGCACTAGAATGAACTGGCAGAGATTAATGTTAATGTTTGAAGTCATTTTCAATACACTATTTAAGAGGTGAGGACAGGCAATATGAAGAAATATCAGTAGGAATATGTGAATGTACCAGTCTTAAGCCCATGGGTTGGTGGTCTGGCAGAGTGACTTCATTCTGTGAAATCCACAGCTGTCTCTGAGCTCAGAAAAGCCCTAAAAAGGACGTAGCTTGACTCAGGACCTAGAATAGATGCTATTATTAAAATCGTGATAAGGTGTAGTTTAAAATGTTAAGAGGTACGCTGTGTGTGTGTCTGTGTGTGTGTGTGTGTGTGTGTGTGTGTGTGTGTGTGTGTGTGTGTGTGTGTTTCCCACTGGTTGGTCTCGCTGACTCACTGTGTGCCACTCAGCAGTCAGAGCACGTCGCACCCTTTAATAGAGCAACATGATGATGCAATCTCTCTTTCCTACTGCACTAAAGAGATTGCCCACCATTTCTCTGGCTTTCTCTAACTTGCTCTATCCATCCATAGAAGTAAAGTTCAATAAAATATATTTTTCATCCGTGTAAGTGGGCCTTACTGCAATGTTATATGTGCATGTTAGAGATTTTTGGCCTTTAGCCAGAGAGCTTTTACAGGTTTGTGATTCATCTGTTGCTAACTGGGCCAACACCCACTCCCACCACACTGTACTTACAGTTAGGAAAGATGAGCACTGCACTTTCATTTTTTGCTTTTTCACCCACTACCTCATCCCTTTCTCTCTCTCTGCGAAGATCTGTAGTTACACTGTTGAGGATTAGTCGGCCCTGCTGTCTGTTTCACTGAGAAACAGGGCTCTGCTGAAAGCTGCCTGCTCTTCTCTAAAACCCGTCGCAGGCTGCTATTTCTGATACTGTCACAGATGTCTCCTCTCGTTCTTTTCTCCCCCCCTTGTCTTTGTATCTGCCTCTTTCTCTCTACATACATCAAAATACTATATTTAACCTCCAGATAAAACCACAAGATAAACGACGGAAAGCTTTTTAGACCACCCTTATCTCTCCCTGTGTATTGCATACCACGAGAGACCTTGTCTGTGCCAGGGATTTAATGTAATGCATTAACACTGCATTAATCGCTGTAGCCCTCTCCCTTACTCCCCTACACTCTCGGCCGTCCATTTGCTCACACAAACCCTCTTCGCTCACTCCCAGATTGGATTTAATAAGAACAATGGAGTGGACTCCTTTTATGTTAGTTGGTTTTGTAAGCTTTTTGTGTGTGCTGTTATACTTAGCTAGTATAGCTAGCTTGTGCTTGAGGCGGAGATGTTGCTAAAGAATGCCGGCGATACAGGAAAGGAATGGGGCGGGTGAGGCGTTGGGGACCAGCACATACAGAGCCGGTAGCTGACAGTAGGCACTCTGGTCCCAGTAATTGAATAATAAGATTCCTTAGATGCAGATAAAAGGTTTGGAGGTAATTACTGCAGTCTAAATTCTCCCTCCCTGCAGCCTTGTGGGTGTGTTTCTCTATGTGTGTGTATGTGCGTTCCTCAGGGATGTTATATGCACTTTGATTTTTATTGTCTCCCTAGTCTGGAGGCATACTGTGGTATTTATGGGGAAAAAAAACATTGGTGAAAATATTTTAATTGGAAGCTCAAATGTAGCCAGCACATGTGACAAGATGTTTAAAACAAGCTGGCAAGAAAAAGTGACAGTGAATGAGACCTTGAAGGGAGTGAAAAGCAGTGTGGAGGTGGCTGCAGAGCAACAGAGAAATCTTTGATGTATGCAGTTGCACTTGTGAATACAAAGAGACAGGGAGACAGTGATGGGTGGAGGGCTGAGTGGATAGCTTTTGTCCTTGACTTTTTAAGTACAGGGATGCAGCACTCTACATCAATATATGTCTGTCAGTGCACTATAAATGGCCATTATATACATTTGAATCTAATTTATAAAGTATAGAGTAATGGGCCCCAAAGAAAAGCAACCAGGGGCACATTTCATGTAGAGTAGCTGAAGCAAACACTGCATACTTAAAGTCCTCCCAAATATTTATTTTAATACACTTTTCACACCTAGCTGGATTGAAAATGTCTTCAAGATGTGTAAAGTACACAGTGTGCCGACGATCTCAAATATTTACTTATCCAAGCCAATTACACCGTTTTTAGCTGGTGCAAAGTATAGTTGTGTGTTTGTGTAAATGTTTTTATAATTAACAGCATGATTATTGACATGTAGGGTGTGAGAACTTTTCTCCATGAGCGTATCATATTAGTTTAGGCCTATAAGACAACCTCATTATTGACATGATGGGAGAGGTGTGGTATTATCTCACAGCTGTCAAACTGTTTTTTCAAGTGTTCATCCTTGACAATGTCACAAGGAAAGATGGCATTTAACGCTTTATCTTGCTGACATTTTGGTTGCAGTTGCCATTCAACACATCCATGTTCTATAAACACTTCCTTTATGTTTTTACGGTGGCATTTCACAGTTCCATAGGAAACACAGAGGCAAATATGCATGCACACAGAAAATGGTGACACTGTGGAAGAAAAGAGCTGACATGCACCACACTAGTCGGGGTGGCATATTTCTCAAAAATATACTACAGCTGGATTTTCGTCTGTCATCTTTGAAAACTATATTCCCATTGGACAGTTTTTCTCAGAAATACATTGGATTAACTTCTGAATAAAGCGGTGACACTTTTAAGGTTATAAATGTGGACTTAATTATTTCCACTGGTGGAGGAAGTATTCAGATTCATCTCTCTATAAATCTCTCTATAAAAGCAAGAAATCTCTGTCTGTCTGTCTGTCTGTCTGTGTGTTTGTGTGTGCCTCAAATATCTCTGCAGATCAGGATCAGACTGACCTGAGAGTTTCAACATGGCTGCTGTGTGGTTTAAGGGTGTGCAACGTCGGCTTAGTTTGGACTACAAAAATACCGTTAATAAATTATTTCATAAATGATTTACGAATTCCGCTAGCATTGTCAACCATAGCCACCATAGCCACATGCGCACCAGAGCCAATCACTACAGAGCCAACCCCCACGAAAACACCTTAAGAAACACACTGATCTATACCTGCAGCGTCGCGAGCGACTTTATACCTGCAGCGGGTTTTGCACCGGCTGTTCGGTCCCGTGCATCTAAACTGACTGTTGTGGATTACTGAGACTGAATGAGTATGGACCGAGTCGGTTCCGGTCTGAGGAGATCCAGATATGCGAGGACAACAAACTGGAATCGGAATCTGTGGATGTTCGTCTGTAGCTAGCTGCTACACCTTCAAACACAACCTTGTTTGGCCATCCATGAAAAAGCTACTTAACCTCCCACTTTTCTATAGCAATACATACTTCCTACGGGCACTGCACTAGTTTAAGTAAAAGTAGCATTAGCATACTATAAAAATATTCCATTAGAAGTAAAAGTTCTGCACTCAAAATTCTAAATTATATTTAAGTAAAAGCACAAACGTATTAGCAACAAAATGTAAAGTATCAAAAGTAAAAGTACTCACGCAATATGACCTCAGTCACTTATATGATTACATTTTTGGATCATCAGCCTATTAGTGATGCAACTTTATAAACACTGATTTAATGTTGTAGTTGGTCAGCTAATCTTACTGTTGGGTTGTTTTATCAATAACAAGACATCATAATTTATAATTTATCGTATATTTGGTGCATAAAATCCTTATCTGAAATGTAGCTAATAGGGCTAGCCCTTTTAAATAATGTAGTGAAAAAAAATTCACAAAACAAAAGTGGCCTTACTGTCCGTCCAGTCAAATCAGTTCTCAACATAACTAACAGCCGATTGCTTTACACTTAAGATTGATCCCTCAGTGTTGTGTTTCAACAGGAAGTAGGTCACATTGAGGAAGTAATGGGACCTTTAAGAATGCTGGTTTCTGTAGAAAAACAAGCCTGTGATGCTTGTGATGCTGCCCCCTTCAGTCGGTATTGTACATTTTTATTTCGAGTGGAAGTTTGGGATTTGTACAAAGAAAACACCAGTGTTTTCAAGTACAGCAAAACATTCTTCAGGATCCACACTTTTAGATCCTGCTGAATAGTTCCCTGTTTTGAGGAATGTGTTGGTTCATAGTATGTATTCACTGCAGGTGTGTCATAGAGCCATATGTGTGTAGTTTTTATAGGGATGTACTGTAACTGTGTGTGCAGTGGCATGTGTAGGGGATATTACGTGTGTATGTGTGTTGATGAATAATGGCCTGTGCTTCAGGTCCATGGGGAAGGACGGCAGGAAAAAAACAAATAGGAGGGTGGAGAGAATGTATAAGAAAGGGAAGATGGGAGCTAGGATGCCAGAGGCGTCACTCAAAAGCCTCAGGGTTTCAATTTCTGTGCTAGAGAGAGATAAGGACGAGGAGGCAGAGGACGGAGAGGAGGGAGGGAGCAAGACAGAGCGAGAGAGAAGATGAACGAGATAGAGTGATAGAGATGGAGTGCAAGAAAGAGGCTGATCAAGCAGAAAATGTTGTCATTGCCTCCTGAAAGAGAGAATTGTACTGTATATTCAACACCATCTCTGGAACCAGACAGAGATAGGAAGAGCGAGGGTGGGAGAGATAGAGACAGGAGGAGGGGAAGAGAGAGAGAGATTGGTATCACATGAGAGGGAGGAGAGTAATAGCAAGGTGAAGGGAGGGAGCAAGAGGACTAACAACACTGAAAGCACTGATAGGGGCGCCAGAGGCAAGGAGGGAGCGATCGAGAGAGGGAGTGGAAATAAGGAGAGCAGCACAACAGCCTGAATAGAGTGGTGTGCTAAATAACTGGAAGAACAGGGAGGACAAAGGGAAGAGGTCTGAAGAGAAGGAGACAAACATCAGGAAAAAGAAGAGGACACTGGACTGTAAATGAAAGTGAAAAAAATGAAAGAGCTGGAAACCAAAGAGGTCAGATAGTTGAACACCAGACAGATGAAAGTGTTTTCTTCCTAGAAGGTGCTGTAAGTGTGTGTGTGTGTGTGTGTGTGTGTGTGTGTGTGTGTGTGTGTGTGTGTGTGTGTGTGTGTGCTTCAGTGTAAATCATATAGATGGAGACAGAACACCTGTTATTCTGAGATGATGGGGTGTAACAGTTTTCAGCTTACGTGTCTTGGACTGTCTCTGCAGCATTTTGCCTACCTGCACGGTGTTTGACCTTCCTTAGTCAGCAAGCAGAGTGCGACTGCAGAGAGAAAAAGAGCGAGAAGGAAGGAGAGGTGGAGAGAGGGAGTGTCTACAGAAAGGGAGAGAGAGAGGGTGAGAGAGAGAGAGAGAGAGAGAGAGAGAGAGAGTGTTAAAGTGGAGTAGTAGCCGAGGGAGTTGTTGCATTGTGATTAGTGTGCCTGTGCAGTCTGTGCTGTCCTCCCAATGTAAGTCCTGTTCTCTACTGCATGGGACTCTCTCCTGGAGATACAGACAGCCTGAAGATAGGATTTTGCCCTGCAAGCTTTGACACTCAATAAGCTACAACTTCGGAAGCCTGGGTCCCACCTACTGTTGACAGGACACTAAGACTGGACTGAAGTGGTTTCAACTCCTCAACAAGGCCCGTCTTTTTATTTTGTGTTTTTGTAAAATGTATTTTTGAATTTTTAGTCACAGTTTCAACTGTAGTGCTTTGAATCATTTGGAACAATGGATACGTCAGGCAACCCTCAAGGGTGCTCTGCTCGTGCTCCCAGTGTGGGAGACTCAAGGATGGGGGAGGCTAGAGTAGCTGAGGGGATGAGAATGGGGGAGAGAGACGCCCCACTGAGGCTGTCACCATTCCGTATGCTTCGAGTGCTGGACTCTTGCCGTCCTCCAGGAAACCGTATTGGTGAGTCTCATCACTGTCATCTTCATCATCAAGTTCATCTGCATCCTGATCCTCCATTTCATCAGGTCTAGTTTGAGTTTCAGTGCTATACTGATGACAGATGACAGCAATTTTTATAACCATATGTGTGAGTCCTTTCAGAGGTAAATGTTGTTCCGTAGATGATACTGTAAATAGTTGTACTCCTCTTGCATTAACACATGCAATATGTCTGTATACTGATTTCTCTCTGTGGGACATAAATTAAGTGTGTCCTGGGGTTTTATTAGATACGAAGACATGGATTTATGTTAAGTAGTTTTCTCTCAGAATCTGCTGATCCTACCACTTTGGATATCTTAAACGTATTCATTTTAAAATATTACGTCCTTTATGCAGCTGGTTTTAAAGATTAGAGATGCAGTGGGTTGGCTCGGGGCACTGTGTGTGGGTATCTTCAGGGATCCAACAGACTCTTTAGAGAAGTGAAGAGAAGTGACCTTTGAGTTCTTCTTTTTAATTTTTTTTATTAATTTGCTTATCAGCATGATGACTGCAGTATCTCTATTCCTCCCGTTCATGCCAGACTCAGACAGTATGCTGTCCTTTACTTAAAAACTGTTTTCGAGAACTCTAGGCCCAAGAGCAAAAAGAAGAAGTAAAATGTTTCAGTTCAAAGCCTAGTAATAATAGTGGGTAATGCATTGGATGTGGACAGTGACTATTAATTCTACAAGTACACCCTTGAGTAACCCCACTGAACTCCATGGCTCGCCTTGCCGAGTGAGGGCTTATGACAAAAAAAATTCCCAGCATTTCCATTACTCTTTGAAGGCCTCTTGAAGTGAATCTTACACTTACTTTACTTCTTTTAACATCCTTCCCACTGGCGTTTCAATCCTATTCTGTGGCACTGCCAACATGTAGCAGAGATGGATTTCCAGCTAAGTGGAGTACATACACAGTTGGGTGAGGTAAGGATGGCCCTTAAAGCAGTCCACTCACTCTTCCAGACGTGCTAGCAGGGAGTCAGCAACCCTAACTAGGCCAGCCTGGCTCCACACAGTGAGGCAGTGGTAGCTCATGACATTTACTGTCTGCTCTTAGTCTGCTATGGAAATGGAGCAGAAAGAACCTGCAGGAGACCGGAAAAGAATGTCCTGTGTGATTAGGCAGTATGTGTGAGTGTGTTTATCTTGAGTAGAGAAAGTGTGTTGGGGAAGCTGGTGTATGAGAGATAAATACAGGTACTTGTATGTGTTAGAAGAACATGTTCGTATCAGTTTGTTTCAAGGTTCAGGTTGATGGAATTTTCCTCCCAGGTCAGTCATCTTGTCTGATGCACCCACATCTATCTGACTGTTTACACAAACAGACGAGATGAGCACCTCTCCGAAAGTGAGATAGACCTGTGACATAATAGCAGTACTGGATACTCACTTGTCGTGAACGTGTGGTCATGTGTGTGCGTCTGACAATACGTAGATATCCTGGATCAATTTTCCCTCACTCTGGTGTCACGTTACCTTGAGTTTAATGTTTCACCTCAGGGTTGTGAGGGTTGATTCCTGATATGACTACCGACTGCTCGGTTTTCTTACCAAACTATTCTCTATGCATAGCCTGTACTCTTGTGTCTGGCTTTGAGGCCACAGGCAGTACATCAGAAGTTTACTAAGCATTTACACAGATGGATTGTGTTTCGGTTGTGTTCTGCTAATGAGCATATGCTGCTTTTGTCAACAGCCAGTTAGAGTAATGGACAGATGTAGGTTGATATTAGCAGCTGGGATCTACACAGGTAGTTGACTGTTTGTGGCAGTAAGAAAACCCGTGATGCAGTTCATATGTAATGTTGGCTTCTGACAGAAAACCATTAAACACCAGATTAGAGTGTATAAATAGCTTTCATTGATTATTGGAAGGTTTATGGAAGGTTTAAGTTAAGTAGGGCAACAATAGGTTTTCATTGTTTGAGAAAGTACCCAGTGAGAGAGTGAGAGTACCATATACATGTGTGAGAAATATGTTCGGGTCAATGCATATGGAACCCCAAAGTGCTCAATAACCAATTATTAACCAACAATTTGTGAAAAAAAAATTAACCAACAATTTGTGAAATAATACAAAAAATATTAAAATATATTCTTCAATTAAAGGCTGAGGAGTAAAAGAAGCTTCTACTGTAGCTAGCCAGCTAGGTAGGTAGCAGCCATGTTAAGCTAAATACACAGAACTGTCAGCTAGATAGTTTATTCAGAATTACTTTGACCTTGTTGCTGCCATTGACAGTATATAATTGGTTGCTGCTCTAGCTAACATGTGCTAACTGGTTAAATCTGGTGGCAGTTGTTGAGCTTGCTAGTTTAAGAGGCATGTGATTAGCTGAAAGGTAAGAGGACTGTGACAACATGAAAAGTAACATGACATTTTAAAAAATGGCAAGAAATAAAAGTGTTATTAGGGGTAAAATGCAATTCTGAAAAAAATGGTGATGTAGAAGAAAAAGAGCTGACAGCCAAAACACTAGTAGGGGTAGCATATGTCTCAAAATAACTACAGCTGGATTGTCCTCTGCCATCTTTTAAAACTATACTCCTACTGTTTTTTAAATCAAAAATGCATTGGATTATTTTCTGAGTGACACGCTCACACTTAGGAACAAGGGTCTCATGGAATATGCACTTGAATGTGCTGAGAAACTGTTATTTCCAGTGGTGGAAGAAGTATTCAGATTAATGTCAATAAAGGTAGCAATACCATACTATAAAAGTAGGAGTAAAATGCAATTATTAAACAACAATAGACTTGAAAAGTCTTAAAAAAGGGGCATTTTGTAATAAAAAAAATCCTATTATGAAATAAACATGATGTCATATAAAACCCTGAAAATAAGAATGATGAAATAACATTTCAAAATGAGTTGATAATTTGTTTTTATTTATTTATGTTATACAATTTATGTGATTATTTTATAATGACTTACTTTTTAATTAATTACTACTTACTGGGTCCATAAATTAATATTGTATCAAGCTTTTAGCAGTCCATATCCCATCTTTTCCCTTTTTTTAGCCCTAAGGCAGAGTCTGTAGACCAGCTTGCCTTTCTCAAATCCTAACCTTGACTACATGAAAGAGACACAAAATGACCTAGAATCAGCCTCAGGTGGTGTTGCCCCACTCCACAGCTGACAGATACTATAATAAATAGCTTTACCTACCCGGCTTTCAATGTTCTGTGCCTCACAGCTGACGTATCACAATCACTCAAGGGACTCATTTATCTTTCCGCTTCTTCTTCCTACCAATCTTCCCTCTATTTGTCACCCCGTTGCTTATGGTGGCTGTTGTATGTAAACATTAGATGATGGTAAGGTAAGATGTTACCAGTGTTAGAAGTCATCCCTTAATCCCTCTTGTTACGCAGTTTCTGCTACCATACACAAGACAAACATGCACACACAGACATTATGTGCTGTACGTGACCCAGACTTGAGAGCTATCAGGCACCATACACTGAAACTCAAAGACAGACCCCTTCCCCCCACATTTACTCACACACCATTGAAGGAGGCAGTCCTGTCTGCTGCACCGTGACTCATTAATCAGATGGAGTGTTGGGGGAAAGGAGGTGTGGGGGTGGAAGGCAAAGACGGGAAAGCTCCCATTGCATGGTGGGTGATATCGATCTCTGACCTCCTCATCTTACCACTGGAATTTTATACACACTCGACTAACACCCCTGCATTGCTGGTGGTACAATCCATCATATGGGGATTGGAACCCTACTATGCCTTTGTCAGAAAGTGAATGAAATCTAAGACAAAAGGTTGTGTCCTCTGATGGGTACAAGGAGAGAGTGATAGAGGAGGAGAAGAGAGTGACAGCATAGTGCTATAAAACAAAACAAAAAAGCATTCCAAAAAGACCTGAGCTGAAGGAAAGCACAGTGTAATTCCTGACAATAACAGTGTGTTTGTGTCTCTTGTAGGTATCGTCCATGAGAACGTGAAGATGGGTTCAGATGGGGAGAGCGACCAGGCATCTGGGACATCTTCTGATGAGGTCCAGAGTCCAGTCAGGGTCCGTATGAGGAACAACCACCATCGGCGCATCTCAAATGAGGTATGAGGAAGTCAGAGACACATCTCACAGATTGCACCTGGGCTCTGTCTGAAAACATTCATACATTCACTATTCAGTATTCAGTATTCACTACATACTATACAGGGAGTTCTATGCAGACTATATAGGGTATTATTAACTGGCCAGGCCCACGTGCGGCCGATATTATCTTATTGCAGATATATCGGTATATATTGTCTGTTGGCTTACAAGTAACAAGAAATTGCAGTACAGAAATGCCAAAGTTTGAGAATTTAGAAAGTGTCACCATTACATAGTTCCACCAGAGAGCACAGATAAATAGATTTTTACAATTTAAAATGTCCTGTTTAGTTTTCATCTTAGCCACAGTAACAAACAGATCTAGAGGATCTGTACCAAGATTATTATTATCATATATTACAAATACAAATTGCAATTAACTAAACACTGCTCGCCAGTGAATGGTAACATGCTGTGAAATGTGTAGGAGAAACTATGGTGGTCGCGAAATTCTCGAAAGGCTCTTCAGCCAGTGTTTGGTTTGTCCGTTCTGGGCTACTGTAGAAACATGGTGGTTCGATATGGCAGCCTCTACATTATTATCTATCTGTAGATAAAAACAGCTCATTTGAAGGTAACAAAAACACAACAATTCCTTTTTTCAGGTGATTATACACACAATTGATCCTCCAAATGTTCCAGACCAGACCTTTTAATTACCAAATATCAATGTCAGTAGTGGCCTCAAAAATACAGTATCGGTTGGGCTATATCTGATGGCAAAAAGCTAATTCAGACACTACTCTGGTCATTCCTTTTTTATCTAAATGTACTAACTTTTACCCTGTCTGTGCAATGCATGATGGCAGTTAGCTCTCAGTTACTCGACATACATTTTATAGTCATCAATTTTCTGACTTTTTGTGTTGTCCAATAATTAGGGTATATACTGTGTTATAGTGAATGGTGGAACAATTTCAGACTTAGACCTGGGTTTATCTAGCATTTAACATACAGCAAGTTGCCTGTCTATGTGAGTGCACGTATGCTGTGGACAGGTAAAGTTGCTATGTGTTGCTTTGTTGTGCCACATCCCTGAGTATGTGCTCATGTCTCTGCCAGAGTGTGTATGTGTGTGTCTGTTTGAAGGAGTTGCAGTGTGATGAGTGCAGCAGTATTACGGGAAATGCCTCTGGACACACAGGCTGCTGCCTCTGACTGCTGTGAGCAGTGGAAGGGACTAATTTAGACCATTTTTACCACAGAGAGGAAGAGAAGAGGGGGGCAGTGAAGGAGAGGGAAATACTGGGGTGAGAGAGTAATTATGGAAGAAGGAATGATATAATTATTGGTATGACAAAGAAAAGAGGAGATCCACAGGAACAGGGCTCAGGAGGTGATAAGAGTGGAGAAGGAGAGATGGAGGACAAAATTATGGTGGGAGAGAACAGAAAAACAAATTTTCCTCTCAGCCACCCCCCTCTGTTCACCCCTTCCCCCCCATCTGCCTTTCTCCCCTCAGGAATCTGTCCATTCCTCTCTCCTCTGCTCCTGCTTTCCCCCTCCTCCTCCTCCTCCTCCTCCTCCTCCTCTTTTTTCTTCCTCCTCCTCCTCCTCTGAGCATGTGGATGGCACTCTACCACAGTGCCAGCCTCTCTCTCTCTGTCAGTGTATGTGCAGTCATGTGGCAGGTCAGAGACATGCATCGTGGAAAACGCATGTTTGTGACTGTGTAGAAAAACACGTTTAAGGAGGACAATGAGGGAGCTACTAGAGCTGTTCTGCATTGTGAGTATGGGGACACGTGTGTGTATTTGGGTGGGTGTGTGTGTGTTTGGGGGGGCTCTTTATTCAATCTATACCAGTGAATAAGAGTGTCATGGTGTCCATTGTTTCCCTTTTTAAAAAGGAGTATGGATAGTTCAGATCTGTTGTTTTGGTCACAGTCGCTGGCTTTATGAATTGCATGAAATATGAAGTATATGATTAGAAAAGTTTATACATTTTTTTATTTTATCAGAGGAATATGCATCTTTATTGTGTTGTTCTTGCCATCCATGGTGAAGCAGTGCTTGCTTTCTGTGTATTGTACTCTTTTATGATTCAGACATTCAGTGGAGCTTACAAATTACTCAGGTCAAAGTCCATAGGTCATTTTTAATAACATGTGCTAATGCAGTCTGCAGAGCATTACCTTTACGTTTTCAGTGTGTGTGAATGTATTTTTTTTTAAGGATGCATTTCCAAACTGTCCTTAGGGGGACAGCTTGTATGTTATACTGCATGTTGTTATGTTTGCCAATGAGCTCAGATAAAGCCATTACAGGCGTAAAATCCCTCTGCCTTTCATCTTCAGGAATACATACACTTTCTACCCTCCCACTAACGCTCACATGTAAACACACACATCATTTCATACACTTACATCGAGGACACATACCGTGGGGCTGTTAGTACTGGGCCAGCAAGCCCCCGCTGCCATGGAAACAACGTGTGATTGGCACCTTGCCAGTGAACATGTCCTACATGGATAGCATATAGGAGTGATGCATTGTGGGAAAAGTAGCATCTCACAAATTGTATACAACCAAGGGTAAAGTATTTTGGTCAGAGGTATTCACTAGATTTGCTATGTGGTACAATCTGTCAGTGATAAAAATACCTTTATAAAGTATAATGATCTTAGGCAAATTGTATGCACACTCAAAGATAAGTCAACTAGACTAGGCAGAGGAGTTGAATGCGAAAATATCAAGCATGTTAATAATAAAGAAAAGGCTGTTTCCAGATGTGTTCAGGATGAGTATGGAAATCATTTCACTCTACAAATGGTGTAAAATTATCCTGAAACTCGCCAGCCTCTTGTCTGGAACCACTCCCATCATGTAGTGGCCTTTGACTGGCCTTTCATTCAGCCTTACTAGACATAAATTCCATTCACATCACTGTCATTCACAACAGCAGATGGAACCTGTAGACCAAAAGTGTGTGTTTGAGATGCAGTCACTTGACTAACTCATTGCCAGGAGTGACAGATGGAGAGAACAGACAAGTAGGCCATGTAACCAAGACTTGAGAAATAGTTTTAATGCCAGATTGTGGTGATCAATTAAGGCAAAGTCATCAAACAGCCAAGAAATATGATGTCAAATAATGTGAGGTGAATAGAAGTGATGATTGGTTAATACACTTATCCGCTGTTTAATTCTGAGTCTGTCAGATGGAATTACAGACACCAGTATTAGTCAGTCGTGTTTATTTTATTTAAATGACTCAATGCTGTATTGATTTATTTTATTTTAAAGTTCCAGAACATTTGATACATGCCAAATAATGTTATGTGTATGGAACCCCCTGTATGGTTACAGGTTTCAGTTTATTACATTTTTTTTAATTGTGATTAATATATTTTAACCTCTTATTTATGTGTGATTTAGATTTTTAATCTTGTTTCCTCCCCTTGAATCCCTCTTTCTGTTTCAGGACATAAACAAACGTCTGTCTCTCCCAGCTGATATCAGGCTACCGGAGGGCTACTTGGAGAAGTTTGCCATGAACAGCCCACCCTTTGACAAGCCCATGAGCCGCAGGCTACGACGTGCCTCATTGGTCAGTAATCATGGTGTCTGTGTGAATATTTGCATCTGCGTATATATGTGCAAAGCAGCTGAAAGTACTTTTTAGTCAGCTGCTTTGGCTTTGGCGGTGCATCGGTCGCTACTTAACATGTGCACTGTTGTGAGTACAGCTGGGTGTGTGCTGCTCTTATGATGCTGCTTTGTTTTGAAACAAAAGCAATATGAACTTTCAGTGCCATTGTGCACAACTTAAATGGTTGACTAAGGCCATTAAATCATCTGACACACTCAAACACTGGAAACACACAAACATAGACTTGTTTTAAACACACAATGAGTTATGCTATAGAGCTTACAATGGCTCAGTAGGGGGATGAATGATAAATTCATTCTGTATTATGTATCGAGGCCAAGAGCATTATGAGTATGAATCTGGGGGCGGGAGAGAGAGGAGGTGTTTGCTACCGGATGGATAGAGAGGGGGGGTGATGGGTAGAAATAGGCAGATATTCATGAATATGCAGCATGTCCCTTTATGCCACTGTGTATTGCTGCTGAAGTACTCCTGCTCTTTCATTTAGTTTTTTTATTTTGGTCACACTTTATTTACATTTACTCTTTTGTTTCAAGTTCCCATTCATACATGACCAAATAAAGCAAGACTCCACTGTTTTCTGTTTCACTCTGTCTTACATGCTGTTTTATATTATATTCAGTCTGCCTTACTGATACATTTTACAAGATTTTAACACGATTACAAAAAGCTTGATATTCTTTGGGAAAGCATAAAGAATTTGCCCTCCATTAAATATTTCTTGCTGTAATTATTGAACAGGGCCGGCGCCCTGCCTCCAGCTCTCGGCTTGAAGCGATTTAATGACGCAGCTTTTCCGCAGGAGTCTAACAGAGATGAAAGGAAGAAATCTTTGAGGAGAGGTTTGCAGGGAAGAAGAGAGGTTTATAGTGTAAGGGTGGATGAGAACAAGGGGATAAACTTTTCTCTGGTTTTGTCTCTACATTTCTGACAAGCTTTGGTCTATCTACTTGTGTATGGCTATGTTTCTTTAGGGGCTGTTGTATGCATGTGATGATGTGATGTAATATATCAATCAATAATTCAGCAGCAGTGTCAGACTCCTCTGCTGCAGCTCCTCTCCTGAGGAGGATTACACACTGGGACACCTTGAAGTGAACCACAGAGCAAGGCAGAGAGAGGGAAAGATGCAGAGAGGGATGACAAGAGAATTTTAAGGGAATGAAAGGACAGGGAGACATGATTTTAAAAATGGTAAGTTGTAAGGATAAACAAATATGTGGAGAGGATTACACTGTAAGAAAAGACAAATTGGCTGCTGAGATGAAATTTAAAACCAGTCTTTACTTCGATCCAGGCTGAATAACAGGAAAGGAAAGGCTTTATTTTATCTCGGTCACCTTGCTGAGCCTGCAGAGTGCATGTAGGAAACAATACAGCTAGACTGTCTTTATTAGAGAAGCTCATATTGTTGCTTTATTTAGTGTGGTGCACCCATGCGAAAATATAGTTTTGACTGCAGTAAACTATTTGCTCTGTTAAAACTTTCACTTAGTATGTGTCAGGCCAACTTTTGCTCCGACCTGGAGGCTTGGAGTTAATTGGGTCGCCACTTCTATGCATTCCTCATAGATTCTATCTCTGCCCCTTATGTCAGTTTGAGCACCTGTAGCTGGAACTGACTAGAAGTTTGATGGGTCAAAATTAAGACCAGGTTGAACAATGTTGGATGGCATGGCAAATAAATGTCTTAACCCCTCAGTCTCTCCAAATGTTAGTGTATATATAGCTGTGTCACAAAAGAACGAGTGAGCTTCCTCAGTCACACTTTACCTGAATGAGTGTAAGATTAAAAATGACAATATGTTTCTGAGCACAACGATATAACAGCTTTCTGGCTATCAGCGAGCTTGTCATTTGTTACCGTAACACAGAACCTGTGTCGGGTGTCCCTTAACTGATGCTTGCATTCGAAACCATGTATTCTGATCTTTGAATCGCTTCCAATGTAATGTAAGTGAAGTTGGTTGGTATCAGTTTTCTTTCATAGCTGTTGCCCATTGATAATCAATTATTCACAGCAGTCCAATGAGATTCAGTGTTGAATAGCACTGAGGAAAGAGATGTCATTTTATCTCAAACCACCAACTCTTAACCTCACTTCTTTTCTAGCCCATTCAATCGTGCAGTATCAGGAAATTGAACTTTATTTAAATTTAACTATAAAACAGAATGTCCAATAGACCTTTTTCATAGCCACCATTTTAATATGCAATAGTAGGGTAAACACAGGTATTACCAAAGATACTATTAAAGGTTCAGCTTCATTTAGGTCAAATAGAGTCAGGGCTCTGCCACACTAAATGGAACATAACATACTTTTGTATAATTGGTAACACCTATGTTTACTATTTTAAAATGGCTGTTAGGCACCATTTAATGTGCCCTTCCCCTCTTGGTTATATTATGCTATCATTTTTGCTTTTGAATAATAAAAAGCTACCAAAAAAATCTGAATTGAGCTCATGTGTTAGTCTACTACTCAAACCTTGTCTATTACTATCAGCAGGTTTAACATGGAAGAGGTGACACAGTGCACAGTGTTTATTGGTTGATTGATTGAAGCCCTGGCTACATCATGTTAATGAAAGGGCTCTTCTTACCTCCCACCTCCCCTTGCCTGCCACCTTTTTTCGTAGCAGAAGGCTGTCATTTTCCCTCTCCCACTCAGTACTCTCAATCCATCTTCTCCCTGCCCATCAAGCCTTCTTACTGTCACCACAAGGAGAGACCCCATGAAAAGTGAAATGTGGTCGAGGTAATGGACTCTCTTCTCAATCCACATTAGAACCGGGCTGCAGACATCTCTCTTCTCACATTTCTTCCTTCTGCTGTCTGTCCATCTATCTGTGTCTTCTCAGTTCCTGTACAGGCTCAGACAGGACGCACGCACATTTTGTTTGGTTTTATGTTGCTTTAATTTTGTCACTAAAACTTAGTCTGACCTAGTTCTGCTGAGTAAGCTCGCTGGAGCGTTAGGAATGAAATGAACCCATTGCTATCGAAAGCATACGCAGGCACAAACGCACACACACACTAAAAGGATTCTACGGTGCATAGACGGTGTGTGTGTGTGCAGTTGCATGCTATAAGCAGAGAGCTGGTTCAACAAGGCGAGAGGCCACAGATTTATTTTCTGGAGTGGGGTCGGTGTGGGGGAAGGGTAGTCACAATATATGTGTGTTCTGTATGTCTTTGTGTGTCACTGTGTGTATGTTTTGCTCATGAGACTGACTCCCCTGCCAAAAGAGCAGTACAGCTCAGCCACAGCTCCTGACAGCCCCTGTCACAAACACAGAGATGGGAGCAGTGTGTGTTTGTGTGTGTGTGTGTGTGTGTGTGTGTGTGTGTGTGTGTGTGTGTGTGTGTGTGTGTGTGTGTGTGTGTGTGTGTGTGTGTGTGTTTGTCTGCGTGTGTGCAGGGTGAGTGTGTTTACATCTGAGCATAGGCTGCATGTCTCATTGCAAATATCCTCTTGCTTACAAGCACACACACGGAACATGCCCCCTACACATACTGTATGTACATGCACACACATACACGCATCTCTGCAGTTTGTATTAATTTTTTATTAATTTTCTTTCTTTCTTTTTATTATTTTAAAGTATTGTAGATTACCAGATACAAAACTAAATATTGACCCTAAAACATAAATATTTGTATAATTTTAATTAATTATTCAAATTGCAATTTGTGCATACCCATGCACACACTTGTTTCAGTGTGTAAGTGTGTCATCATGTGTCTGAGCTCATTCTGATGTCGGCTTTTAGACATGCCTTTAAAGAGATCACATGCTTCATCAACTAACTTGGTCACTGGAGACCCTACCCCCCCATACGCACACATATATGCGCATAGCCGAGCATTGGCCTGACGTTCGTATAGGCATCATGATGGGACGGGCCAGCACTAGATTGAGGGAGATGGGTAGTTTCAGAGAGATGAACACAAATAAAGCATGGCTGAGACAGTGACAGAGATAGACTAATAATTGTGGAAAAGTGACAGAGAGAGGGATAAACACTGGCAGGCCTGTGGGTATCACAGCTTGACATATAGCTACATCCATCTATAATTCATGACCTCGAAACCCAGGGGCCACGTACATTATGCATATAAACCTTTATTAACTGATTTCAGAATTAATTCTGAATGCACACAGATGTGAAGTGCGCCTGCTGGATATCTATAGAATTTTTTAGAAGTAAACATGTAATCCCCATTTAAGTGTATGCCATATTTGGTTGTCGTTGTTATACTGACTTCCTGTGGCCAAAGAATATATGTGCAGCTGACAATGACATCACTTTGTAGCATTAAAGCGACAAAGGGAGGGGGCACTGTGGGATATTACATTTTGTTCAGATTAGACCAGCATAGCTTTTCCTTTCCTCCTGTTTGTACGATCATGTGTAATGCAATGTATTTGGTGTTGAATGATAATGATAATGACAACCAGAACCTGAGATATAAATTTCAGAGATCTGACCAAACATAAGTTTAAACCATGAGATAACATACAGTCTCCACAGGTGATAGACACATTCACATCGACATAACCTTTGTTCAGTGTCTCAGTAGTAGTTTATTTTCTAGTAGTTTTATGTAGGGTCCTCTTAGAAAAATGTCTTAATACCTGTCTTAAAAAGAGCCAAACACTAAAAACAGCATCAAATAAGTGTAAAAATGGTTAAACCAGCTAAGATCTTAAGGGATTTTTTATTTGATCCAATCATACACATGCTGTTTGCACATGGCTGCTTACTATTTTAAGTGTTCGTGGTGCTGAACTGTCAGAATCATAGAACGTAACAGTGCTCAGTAACAGACTGTAAGTGTTGGAGAAACGAAGCTAATGTTTTAGCACAGGCACGCACACACACACACACACACACACACACACACACACACACACACACACACACACACACACACACACACACACACAATATAATAAGGCCTAGTGTTTCAGACCCCTGCAGTTGTAGGCCAGATGTCAATAGCAATGGGACTGAAATCTGAACTAACAGCCATGGCCTGGAGTAGAGTGGCCTAGCGTAACTTCCTGAACTGTCTTCTTTCCATCTTCTCTAGTCTGAAATCGGCTTTGGGAAACTTGAGACCTACATCAAACTGGACAAACTAGGGGAGGTGAGATCAATAAAGAACATCAGCCACTGTGACACTGAGCACATAATCCTCAAACACTTGCTTGCTTTATTTCACAGTGTATTCACATGCTTTCTATCTCTGCAGGGGACCTACGCGACAGTGTTTAAGGGGCGAAGCAAGTTAACAGACAACTTAGTAGCTCTGAAAGAGATCCGGCTGGAGCATGAGGAGGGTGCGCCCTGCACAGCTATCAGGGAAGGTACTGAACTACTGACCATATTGTCAAGAAGCTTGTAAGGTTCTGACAGTGTTGTTGCGACCTACAGTAGTTGCTTATCTGTATTGCTTGCTTGCTCCCTGAGCTGTTTAGTGAACTATGAGCTGTTTTAGTTCTCCTCACAGGTTCTCTGTGCTTGACTGACAGTGTCTGATATGTCTCCCTCCTTTAGTGTCTCTACTGAAAGACTTGAAGCACGCCAATATTGTCACTCTCCATGACATTATCCACACTGACAAGTGCCTGACACTCGTGTTTGAGTACCTGGTGAGTGTCTGCGCATGTGTGTATGTTTGTTGTGTGTGTCTAGAGGGCGTATTGTACTAATCTTCTTTTTTGCTTGCTTGCTTTCTTTATTTCTCTCCCACCAGGAAAAAGATCTGAAGCAGTACATGGATGACTGTGGGAGCATCATGAGTGTTCACAATGTCAAGGTAATGTAAAGTAATGCATCTGTTCAGTACTGAGGGGAAATCTGTAGTTATGGAAGAATTGCTGCTACTCTTTTCAATTTCGCCTTGATTCCTACTTAAGATAGTAGCAGCTTGACTTCTAATGATAAATCTAAAAATATCTTTGTGCCCTTTGATCACTGTGTTGTAATAATGCCACATAATGTTTGCTTAATAACAATGATAACACATAACACAATACTTGGTTAATTATTGGAGTTTAACATATGTAAGTTTGTAACAATAAGTCATACTCCACTTCTCTCCTCTCCAGATATTCCTGTTCCAGCTGTTACGAGGTCTTGCATACTGCCACAAAAGGAAGGTCCTCCACAGAGACCTCAAACCCCAGAACCTGCTCATCAATGAAAAAGGAGAGCTCAAACTGGCAGACTTTGGTATACACAACTTAACTAACTAGAAGCACACATAGGTCTTGTATATCTTGAAATTTTCTGTATTGGTTTGACCACTAACCACTCATTTCTAGATGTAGCCCTTATTCCTACATGGCTTTTCAATACAATTAGATGTTATTTTTTTTTTACAAAAAAATATATATTATAAAACAGAAGCAAGAGCCTGCTTGCCCCACTAGCAGCCCCTATAGGCCATACTGCGCCTTAGACCCAACAGGACAACATACCGGTAGTTTGAAGTGATTAACCACCCAACACTGCCCTCCTTAGGTAATCATCAAAACATGACATAATGTTGTACATAGTCATAGTAGTATATCATTGTCTAAATAATCTTTGTAAATTACTAATTAATTCTGTGTTCCTCAGGTAAAACAGGAATCTGGATTATGAATCACATTGTCCATTGACATAAAACATTTTAATACGATTTACAGTTTGTTTTTAGTTTAATAAAGTAATAACAAAGTGTGTAAAAGTGTTTCTGAAATTTTTATCTTTTACATTCATTAACGTAACTTTTTGTGTTTGAATTAAGGTTTGGCACGAGCCAAGTCTGTTCCTACAAAGACCTACTCCAATGAAGTAGTGACATTATGGTACCGGCCACCAGATGTGCTTCTAGGCTCCACTGAGTACTCTACACCCATTGATATGTGGTGAGCAAACGCACATCTACAGCAAATACACACCATTTTCAGAGAAAAGCATAACACTAGCCCTGGATTTTGTCAATTCCCCAAACATTTCTTTTGGTCACTGTTGGTGTTGGTGTTGGGATTTAGTCCTATAACACATTTAGATTTTGAGGTACTTTGTAAATGACTGTGGTTTATTTCTGGACATAGAGTTGGAATCAGTCCCTTGTTTTTTATTAGACAGAACCCATAGTTTTTATTTGGGTTATGTGTCTTGTTTTTAGTGTCACTGAAGGAGTAACATTTGTCACTATTTTATTCAGCACTTGAGCACTTTGTATTTAATTTACGATACGTGTAACTTACATACTTTTCTATTGTTTTGTAGAGATTCCCTTTATATTAGCAGTTTGTATTTCCTTTCCTTGAATTGAACAATGTTGTCTATTGAACGAGTGTGTTAATGTCAAAAGTCACAACCTACTTGGTATAAGTTGTGTTTGCTTATTCCACGGTTTCTGTCCCTTTGTCCAGGGGTGTGGGCTGCATCTTTTATGAAATGATCACTGGCAGACCTCTCTTCCCTGGATCAACTGTGGAAGATGAGCTTCACCTCATATTTCGCATCCTTGGTGAGAAAAAAAATCTGATGAGCTTGTTTAACATGTATGCTTTTGTGTGTTTGGGTGTGTATACACTCAACATATGTGAAATGATCCTCTTTATCTTCAACAGGTACTCCTACAGAAGAGACTTGGTCTGGTATAACGACCAGTGAAGAGTTTAAGACGTACAATTTCCCTCGATACCAAGCGGAGCCCCTCGTCAACCACGCACCCAGGTGTGTAGTTATGGGTGTATGTGAATACAGCTGCACGTGTGTGCGTAGAGTAAAGGATAGAGTCGAAACTTTGGAGGTCTGTCTTTGAACAATAGTGAGGTGCCCACATGAACACTGAAACAGATTTTGCTTACTGTAAAAGCAAGCAAAACTTAATGCAATGTTCATATCGTCACCTGACCAGTCACTGTGATGCGTTAGATGTAACAAGATAAGAATTGATTTTCAGTAGGAGCTGTGGTCAAGCATTTCCGCCTCGGTTGAAATGGCAGGAACACTACACTATCCATATGGCTTAGGTCAGCATTTGACCACACTGACACTAAGTTCTCTCTTTCTCTCTTGCTTTCTCTCTTGCTCTCTCTGATACAGGATAGACAGCGATGGTCATGAGTTGCTTGCAATGCTTCTACAGGTAAAGAACATCGCTCTTAATGATGAATACTTGTAATATACGTACACCCAATGCATTGGATTAGACTGTGCTGTCTTTATATCCCCTCTTTGTCTCTTTGTGTCTGTAGTTTGAGGCTAAGAAGCGGGTATCAGCTGAGGAGGCTCTCAGACAATCGTATTTCAGAAGCCTTGGGGAGCAGGTTCAAACACTGGCAGACAGTAAGTACATACAGTCTAATGTGTTGAACGTGCACACGTAGCGTACAAACACTGTCTCACCAACCCTCTGTTGTTTTCAGCTGCATCCATCTTCTCTGTAAAAGGCATTCAGCTCCAGAAAGATCCTGGGAAAAGATCCTCAGTCTACCCAGAGTCAAGTAAGTTCTCCAAGATGGAAAAATAGAGGGGAAAACGAGACAATTAGGAATTCTCACTGGGAATATGATAGAAAATAGGTCTTGCTCCCTGTCCTCTACCTCTTCTCCCTCTTTTTCTCTCCGTCTAACTGTTTGCTTTATGTCGTCTCTCATGTCACTGTGTGGTCATACATGTCACACACGGTGTCTCAGTCTATCGGCAGGCTTATGCTTCCACTATATACAGATCCCCAACTCCCAACAGCCACTGCAGAGCACGTTAAAGGGAGTATTTTTTTGAAACCCAAATATTTTTGAATGCTTGGATCAGTTACTGCTATGCTCTGTGAAGGGGGAACGAGAGATGTTTTTTTTGCCAAGCTATCAGGGGTAGCAATGTCAGACCACCACTTTGGTCTAGGTTGAAAGATCTCAACAAATATTTGATGGATAGCCATGAAATTTTATACAGACATTCATGGTTCACAGAATTTGTATCCCAATGACTTTAAAGATCGCCTGACTTTTGGTCAAGTGCTACTATTAAGTTCATGTTTGTGGTTTTCAGTGAAATGTCTTGACCAATGTTAGATTGTTGGAGTTTTGGTACAAACATACTTCAGGATGAATTGTAACCACTGGAATCCCTTATGACCAAACATGTTCAAAACTAATGCCATTCCCATTAGCCATTTAGTGCTAATAAGCAATGGTTAGCACGCAGTTACACTAAGATGGTGAACATGGTAAACATTATACGAATTACCATTGTCACTGCTGTGAGGACGTTAGCATAGCATTGCTCCGCTGTGCTTAAGTACAACCGTAGTTTTCATAGTGAATAGTAATAAAGGGATTTATGTGCTTAAAAGAGATTCTACCAATGATCAAGAATATAAGCTGGCAGATTTAAGTCGTAGTTGCAGTAATTACAATGTGGAGATGTACATATAAATTCAACAATTGGATGTTGAAAGATGCTAAGACTTCCATCAAAGATAGTTGTACTACTGAATAAATGGTAGCACTCAGATTACTGAAGTTGCATCTTTGTCTGAAGCACAATACATTGTTGCATACCTGATGTGGCTTTTTGACATTTGCTTAGATTTACTTCAGTGTTTCTGTCTCTATCACAGTCTCAGCCTGTGCGTGTCTCTTTCTTCCTGCTTCCGCTGCCTCTCTGTCATGTTCTGATAAATTGTCCCTTCTCTTTCTTGGTACCCATGCTCCCCCTTCTTTCGCAATGTTCATCTTTTCCTTAATCCTTTCTCCCTTGTGTACCCTACTCCAACTCCTCCGTTACACCTCAATATTCCCAACCTCCTCCCTCCCCCCCCTAACCCTAACCCTAAAAAGTGATGGCCCATAAGCTAGGCTCTGCACCCTCGCAGTACTTCCAGAGAGAACCAGCCAATCCCAGGGCTCAGAGTCACAATCTCTCCTCCACTTCCACTGGCTGAGTGGCCCCTACCGTTCTGGTAAATACGGTCTCTTTCATTCTGTCTGTCTTCTAGCCAGTCCCACTTTTCCTTTTTTTTCTGTTTGCCGTTCACCTGGCCTCTTTCTGTCTGCCCATCTGCACTGTTGCAATCCCACTTAAAGTATGGTTCTCCCAGTTGCTGATCTGGACTAAATGCTGGTACATTTCACTTCCCACTTTTCAAAACAACACATTATTTGTTACCTGTTAAAAGTCACACCATTTTCAGTCTTTTTTATTGTATTTTTTGTTAATTCCTCTTCCTCTACCCATTCTTGCTCCTGCTGGCCTCCCTTCACATTTCCAGCCCTGCACCCACATGCACCATCTCAGCTTTCACTTACCTAATCCTCTTTTTCTCAGAGTGAGCCACTCCCAGTGTTTATTTCAGGGATGAAAGGGGGAAAAGTATATTCATATAAGAAAGGAATGTGATCAGAGAATGGGGATTGGGTCATTTGATTCTTTCCATTTTCAGTCTTGTTTAGGTTTCTGCAGCGAGAGATGTAGCCTTTTTGTTGAGTCTGTAAGTGAGGGTTTGGTTCAGTGTGTGTTTGGGTGGTTGTGTGTTATAAATGCATTTTCTCTTAGCGTGGATATGGTGTTTGATTTACTGCAGTGTGTTACAGTTAGTGGAAAGTGATTTACAGTATGATTTAGCTTCAGCCACATGAGATTACACACAGTATTACAAGCCCAAGAACAAGAATATGATCCAACTGTTAACTGTAAGTCTTGGCACTGATAACACCACTGTGACAATACATGGCCAAAAGTATCTGTCCACATACTTTTGTGTAATTCTCTCTTTAGGGATTTTAGACAGTAGTGTGCAACAGTTTGCGGAAATCCCCTTCAACACAACAACACTCTAATGCGCACACCATCCTTAAACAAATCTTGTTCTAGTGTGGTGTGGAAGTATTTGACTGGCCTGCACAGATCCCTAGGCCGCTTACTTATCGAACCTCTAAGAATAATGCATATTAATTGGGCTCTAATGCTTAAATGAACAAAAGTTCCACACTGAAAGTGAAGAATAGGACATTATTAATTAATATTAAATAAAATATTAAATTATTATTAAACTATAATTAACAAAGTGCACTTAGCTCTTTTCAGCAAAGTGTAAAAGTAACCTTTAACCTTTAGCTCGCAAGGGATTAATGATTGACAACATGTATGCTCAAAGAGAACAAGCCAATCATAGTGACTTAACCAATGGCTCCAGCCTATTGTTCTTTCTTAAAAAAACATTTTCTTAGTGGCATGAAGATCTGCAAAACCAATGTGATCTTGATTTTTTAAAGATAATTTTATTTGTGTGAAATGTTTCCAATTAAAATATGAGATAATCTTTTTATAATATATAAATATAATATAAGAGATTACAAATAGATAATTGTCTGAAAAGGGAACAAAAAGAAAGTCAACTAAATAGGAAACTTACATCAGAGACAATATATAATGAGGGAAATTTAGTACTACAAGTGCTGACAAGGAAGAGGTTTGGAAAATACAAATGCTAGTTCCTATCTTTGCTCTGGCTGTTTGCACCCATGACAACAAATAATAATAAAACATAAATAACATTAATAGAAAAGAATAAAACTTCACGTACATATTATTCATCGTGAACACCAGTGATATTTTCCAGCTTTAGAGACCTCTAGAGCTATAGTAGAGTAATTAAGTTAAAAGATATTTGATAAGTGTGTGAGTAGCAGTAAAAGTGAAAGATTTTTACTTTGATCTTTTACCAAATTACATTTTCTTTGATGATTTGGGACACCCACTGTGAGCCAGACCTTATTGCCCAACATCAGTGCCAGTTCTCACTAATGCTCTTCTGGCTGATGGGAACAAATCCTTAAAACCAGGTTCCAGGAAAGCCGTCCCAGAGGAATGGATGCTATTACAGCAGCTTATTAATTACCCATGGTTTGGAACTAGATGTTCAGCACTCACGTTTGTGTATAATGTTTGTGCGTCTAGAGCTGCAAGGATTAGTTGATCAACAGAAGATAAATAATTTAATAATCAATTTAGGTATTCTTTCAAGAAATATGCCATACATTTGATTTTTCCAGGTTGGAAACGTATTATATATATTATACTAAATTAGATATTTGGACATTTAATGAGGTCATCATGTGATGAGCACTCTTCATCATTTTCTGATGTTTCATAGGCCGAAGGATTAATGGAGAAGTTGGTAGATAAAATGATGATGAAAATAAGTGTTCAGCTGCCCTTTGTGTGTTCAGTGCTTTTGGCCATATAGTGTATATTTTTTGTTGCTGGCATGGAGTGAAATTTGCGAGTGTGTGGTATTGTGTGTTTGTGTGTCTAAATGAAATCCTAACCTTTTTCAAATCTCTCTCTCTCTCTCTCTCTCTCTCTCTCTCTCTCTCTCTCTCTCTCTCTCGCCCCCCCTCTCTCTCTTCTCTCGTTCAGCCCAGGGGAAGAGCAGGAGGCAGAGTGTGTTGTTTTAGTGCTGGCGGGGGCGCTGAGGTGAGGAGGACAGTGACACGTGGAGCTGTCCTGTCAGACATACATTCACTGACCCTGCCACACACACACTGAAGGAGTGACACACACCCTGCCACATAAACACACACTGAAGAAGAAAACACACTCCACACACACACACACACACACACACACACACACACACACACACACACACACACACACATACAGCAACATGTAAACAAAACCACACAGAACTATGGCTGAAGAATTCATACGTAACTAAAAAAAAAGAGAGACTCAGCTCAACCCTAAAGACAGAAAAAAATTTAAATGAGAGAAGTGCTGGAAGAAAAGTGGGAGAGTACAAGATTCTCCTTGCTGCTACTACCGCTGCTGTCCAGAAGAGGGCAGCATTTAGGACGTGGGCTGACTCGGTCTCTGAACCGAACTTGCTGTATCAGTGAGCCGTGAGGAAGAGGGGGTGAAAAGTGGACACGATTCGGAGGCAAAGAAAGAGAGACGAAACCTATCACCTTCTCTTGTGCTTTCCTTTTTTTTTTTTTTTTTTGACTATTGTTGTACATAAAGAGACTGAGCTGTAGAACTTTGCTTTTTCATAAACACGCCTCAGCCTGAATCCAAACTCTGAATATTGCACCTCAACCCTAAAACCCTCGCCTAACCTCTTGGCCCTTTATTACATGATCTTTAAACAACACACACAAACACATAGCCTCTCTCTTTCTTTCTCTCTCTCTATCTCTATCTCTCTCTCTCTGTCGCTCTCATTTTCTGTCTTTCTGTATCTCTCTTAAACACACACACACACACACACACACACACACACACACACACACACACACACACACACACACACTGGTGGCTCACTTGAAAGTTAAGAGTGTGTAGATCAATGGAGTTTACAGAGATAAACTTTAGCACCTTATTGTCCCATAGAGGTCAGGGTGGCTGTCATTACCTCATCAGTCACTCAAGCAGAGTAGGATGGAAAGTACTTTGTAGGTAGTAGAATGAAGAAGAATCAAAGTAACAAACCAAAAAAAAAGAGAAACAAAAACTCACTCAGCATAGGACAGACATATTTACCCTCACCAACGAAATTGGACACTTCACTACACTACAATTAAAAACACCCACAAACCAGTAGTAGACAATAACTACATTTGTCACATGCTCACATGCTGTAAAGAACACTACGCTGCGGGATGCTCCTGTTTAAGTACACAAGAAGGACAACCTGTAAAGACAGAGAGGTAAAGGAAGTGTACAAATCCTCACCTGCTTATTCTTAGACACCCCCTTCCTCTTTTGCCTTGACTCAGAAGTTGTCTTGATTTGTTGTGTGATGTACAGGTGTTGATGTTGAAATGTTCTCTTTGCACCTGATTTTTACCTCTTTAGATCATGAGTAGAACATTCAACCCCTATCCTGCCCAACTCCACCTGCATTTATTTTTACTACCCCCCCCAAATCTGTATATATGATCATACTTTTTACTTGTCAGAAGCAATGATAATTAATTCCAGGATGCTGTTCTCAGTCTTTACTGTGTTCCCACCGGAACAGTGTGGCGACTGGCTGGGGACGTGTTGCACATTCCTTGAGCTCAGGACTTATTGCTAGTGTCGTTTTGTGGATGCTGTGAGGTACAGCTGATCTCGTATGTCTCCCCAGTATAGCAGAGTACGCCGGACATGGCCTGAAAACTCTTTGCAAAGCTGGTTCAAACTGTATGTGAAGAAGAAGAAGAAGAAGAATCATTTCTCAGAATCAACCTGTCAGTCTTCTGTGTCATTCATTCTCTGTTCATTTGACCATAATATTGCTGTTCAGTGACTACCTTACCCATGTCTTTTGTCGTCATCTCTTCAAGCATGTTCGTGTATTAAACACAGCTGTTTTCAAGTTGGTATGTGAAATAGCTGCTGCTGGAAAAGGAATACCTCCAGTTGGTTCAAATTTTGCATGGGACATGACCTTATTACATGATTTTTACACCAAACACCACATTAACCTGCAATGGCTGCTCATAGAGTCTAGAGACCTTAAATAAGATGAAGACAACACAGTATTCAGCAACAATGTGATATGCTGCCAGCATTGGGACCAGCTTCGACTTCAAGCTGTACAGTACAGTGATGCAGCCTGTGTAACTGGGCGCTTACTTTTAACAGGACTTGAAGCCCTCAGACACGCTGTTGTTTCCTGCTGTTATTGTTCCTGCCAGAAACAACAGGACCAAAGTCAGTCCTCCAAGCGACAGGTGTTCAAGCACACAACTGTTTCACACACCAATCAGTTGACATGTCAACGTGTACTGTATCTATGAGATGGCCTGTGAGTGTAGATTGGAGTTTCCTGTTCCTCAGGCACTGACCTCGGGTCACTTCTGCATCTTTTTTTTTTTCTGAAATGAATTCAGAAAGGGTGAAGTGACCCTACGTCTGTGCCTGTCAGAAGGACTACTTATTTACCCAGAGTGTGACAGTATGTAGCATGTACATAGATGATCCCTCACTCTGTATATACAAAAGTGTATAGGTTTGATACAGCTATTCACACTCTGGCTTTTTTTTTGTTGCTTTTCTTTAATGAAAGTCATAGCAATATTTCTGTAATCAATAAAAAGCCAAGGTAATAGGATGAGTATGATTGCATTTGTGTTTGTTTAGAGAGGGAGGAGTGACTGTGAATGATCAAACTGTGAGACTTGACAAAACTGATGACAGGTTTTTTCTTGCTGTTTAACATGCTGGATCCAAAAGGCTGGAGTGAAGTATCATGTTGCAAAGGAGTATAACACACTGATTATTTTGATTTTTATCAATGAAAGCCATAAAGGTCATATATAGGTGACAAAGGTATATTTGTGTGCGAGCACAGACCTTCAGAAGCAAAGGGGATGTGTACACCTAATGAAAAATAAAAAAAAACCATGTAATTACCGATTTTTTTTCTTGTCATAAATCCTTTGAAAATATGTTGTTGTGATAAATTACATTATCAGCTACATTTTATTTTAGAATAAATGTGCATGTATATCATACATTTTTAGCAAACCATGAATGTTGTTTCTGTGTGGATTTGAACCCTTAATCTTTGAACCTTTCGATCTTTACGTCCTGTGGAATTGGCACAACTCCTGCATCCTCATGGTGAGATCAAAAATAATTACACATGATCAGCAACATCAGTGACAGGGAACAAGACAAAATAATTGTCGTTATTGTCATAATACATAAAAAGTTGAGACAGCCTCAGCAGGAACAGACAGATTTTAACACATGGAGAGTCTCATTAGTGTTTTCCTTCTTCCTTTTCACAGCTGCTTTAATGTGTTTTTTAAAAAATAGGACTACACAGAATTTGTAATGCCTCCATCATTACTGGCGTCCATATCAGTCCATTAACTTGGCTTTGTCTACATACACTGAATAAAATTATAAACGCAACACTTTTGTTTTTGCCCCCATTCATCATAAGCTGAACTCAAAGATCTAAGAGTTTCTCTATGTACACAAAAGGCCTATTTCTCTCAAATATTGTTCACAAATCTGTCAAAATCTGTGTTAGTGAGCACTTCTCCTTTGCCGAGATAATCCATCCACCTCACAGGTGTGGCATATCAAGATGCTGATCAGACAGCATGAGTATGGGTTGCACTGCGTGAGGCAAATGGTGGTCACACCAGATACTGACTGGTTTCCGGACCCCCCCAATACAGTGAAACTGCACCTTTTCGAGTGGCCTTTTATTGTGACCAGCCTAAGGCACACCTGTGCAATACCCATGCTGTCTGATCAGCATCTTGATATGCCACACCTGTGAGGTGGATGGATTATCTCGGCAAAGGAGAAGTGCTCACTAACACAGATTTTGACAGATTTGTGAACAATATTTGGGAGAAATGGGCCTGTTGTGTACATAGAGAAAGTCTTAGATCTTGAGTTCAGCTCATGATGAATGGGGGCAAAAACAAAAGTGTTTGCGTTTATAATTTTGTTCAGTGTATGTTGTTTTTATTTAATCTTTCCTTGCAGTCCAGTGCAGACAGCGTTGGCCAACAGTTGGAAGTAGTTCTGATGATCTCGTGCTGCCTCAGGCGTTAGGGGATTCATGTACACTTTTATTCTTTCAGAGGTTCTTTAGGGGAGACTTTTTGGCTCTTGTTGAGAGAAGCAACCGTGGTCTCCGCCTCAGACATTTGTGGATCCGAGGCCCACGGGTTCCATCCACACAGGACAGTGGGAACAGCGTATCCTCGAAACTGGAAACACACATACAGCATACATGATCAGTACAGGCAAATGATGGTGAATGATTAAATAATCCTGCATTATTATTTCTTTCTCTTTTCTTTGCTTGTGTGTGTGAATATAAATGTGCATTATCAACGATTACCTGTCTGTTCATGAAAATATATATGATGGGATTGTAGACAGTGCTGCTTTTAGCCAAGTAAACAGGTATGGTAGCGATGATGGGGTCAATATATAGACTGGAGTCTATGATGACGGCAAGGGCCATCGCAGCATATGGCAGCCATGTCACTAGGAAGGCCAACACCATAACCACTACCATACGTGCCACCTGCATCTCCACGCGATGTGTGCTGCCAGCCTCAGATATCTGTAGCTTGGTCACCTAGAATGCCAAAATACAAACAAAAAGACTGTATTGTGATGCCGGTACAAGAAACAAAAGTGTCATATTTCCATCATTGAGTGTATCTGGCTACCCCACATTCATGTGGCTCACCTGGCGGAGGGTCCACAAGAGTCGTGAGTAAGACACCAGGATGATAGAAAAGGGCACAGCAAAGCAAAAGCAAAAGTATATGATGATGTAGGACATGTTGCCAATATCCCGGCTGTACCAGTTGGGAGCGCAGGAGGTCTTGACGCCCTCCAGCTCATAACTTCCCCAACCAAACAGAGGTGGAGTGTTCCACAAAAAGGACCACATCCAGGACAGTACCACTCCAGCGACTGCATGTCTGAGGACAGCAGAGATGGTGTTTTAATCAAGTTTTCTACTCTGCGTGAGGAAATGAAATGTTGATGGTCACTACTGTACCTAGTCTGGAACAGGACAGCACCCATGGGATAGCACACCACTATGTAGCGTTCAACAGAAATGACTCCTATTGTACACAGACTTGCTATACCTGACAGAAAAAGAAGGAATATGTAAAGACTTTTTGGTGGAAAACATCCTGCTACTGAGTATTGTGCAAATTAATGAAAGTAACTAGATACATTTACTTACTACTATATAGTACTATATAGCAATTTGGAGTATTTTCATTTTATGCTGCTTCTTTACAACATTTCAGAGGGAAATATTGTACTTTCTACTCTACTACATTAGTCTGAAAGCTATAGTTAATTGCTTTTCTCAATAAGATTTTACATAAAACATATAAGTTTATAAAATACAACACATTAGAGATTAAACTAGTAGTTCTTGACCTTTTGGGCTCACGATGCCTTATAGTCAATGTCCATTGTTATGATTCATGTATACTAATTCCAACAAAGGAGGATTTCACTTTAAAACTTCTCGTATGGTCTCATTTAAATAACTTTTTAAATAAAGATTTTAAAAAAGTCCGCAAAAATAACACAAATGTATGTAACAGTATTTTTTAAAAAAATGTCTTCTGTTCAACCTCAAATCATCCCCTGACGCCCTCATATTTATCTTTATATTAACCCTTAGATTGGGTACCACTGGACTAAACTACTGAAAGTATATAAAGTAGTTAAAACTAGCTCTACCTTAACTAGCTACACTTACTTTAGATTTTTTAGATATAAATTACGCTGATAATACTTGTTCTCTTACTTTTCTCTTTCTTTTACTTACTTCTCTGCATTTGATTAGATTCCTAATAGAATATTTTTACTTTGCTACATTTTTACTTTTACTTAAGTGAAGGATCAGAGTACTTCCACCACTGTGCAAATTAAATCATACCAAGTTGTAAGTAACACTTCAACGTGCAAACTTTAACTCACCAAAAAAGGCTACAGCAAAGCCCTCCATCACGCAGCCCACACGTCCCAGGCTGAAGTATCCCATGGCACTGGTAACTGTGGTGGGCAGACCTCCAAATACAGCACAGCCCAGGTCACATATGGCCAGGTTAACCAGGGCATAGCTGAGTGGCTGTCTCAGCTGTCTGTGTTTCATTGTCACCACGATCACCAGGACATTGAGGAGGATCCCCACTACAGAGAACACGCCCATGATAACGGCCAGTATGGTGTAGCCAGTCCGAGAGAGGAGCTCTGTGTCGACTGAGCTATGAGAGGATGAGGAGTTTCTATGTAGGACAAGGTGCTCCATTTTGCTCAGTGTAGAGTGCTCTAGCTGCTCCCTGATATGACAATAAAGGGTCAGTGGTCCATCTACAACCTTAGATCAAAACAAATCCAACATCCACAGTAATCCAACAATATCAACAACCAGTGAAGTCTTTCTCTACCGATGCTGCATGTTTGCTGCTCTGGTGCAGCTGCAGAGAAGAGAAGGAGATGGGGTCCTCTTAATAAGTCCAATAAGAGGAGAGGGGCTCTAGACCGTGACATTTAATTCTTGGAAACCAAATCCGTAGATCCGGATTGTGAAGACAATAATTCTGTCTAATATCCTGTAAGACTGCACTTTCCATGATTACTGGCCCAGCTGCCCCCTGAGTAATGAAGCAAGGATTCAGTAACACAATATGGTTTTAAGGATTAAATGTCTGCTGGTTAAAGGCATAGAAGGAGCATTGTAGCTGGTTAATATCACAGATTTTTGTACTTATAGTGGTACTTAATACTTTGCCTTGTAAAAAGCTTTTGGCTGGCGGAGAATGTAAAGTTAATAAACATTTTTGTTTAGAATAAGTGACCCTTTATAAGGGGTTGGACGTTGGGACTAACAACTTTATCAATTGTTAATAGATCATTTACCAATGTTTTATAGAGCTGCTATTAGCCATTAATAGGAACTTCTGGGTTGCCAGGTCGTGGACTCTTTTTAGCGTTTTAATATATTGGGAACGGCCACCAATGAATGCCAACATCTATACCTGCATTATTACCAAATAGCCTATTAAAGGATAATCTAGACAACCCTAAAGTTCAAATGAATAGTTAATAAAGTATATAATAGAAAAGTTTATCTCAAACGAATATGATTCCGACCCAGGTGGTCTTCTTTTGGTCCAGCTTTCACTCTTTTTGCATTATTCACAGGTGCGGTCAGTTCCCCTCCCGGCCACAAGAGGGCGCTACAGTCTGCAGCTGCTCCGCGCATTAAAGCAGCTGCGTTTGATCTCCGGCGGTAAACAGTCAACATGGCTGCCTCCGTGAGGAGAGCAGCTCACGACATAGAAACGCGAAAACGGACCGACGATGTGCTTCTGTCGGAGGGGATCGACTTCAGCTCCCTGCTGCTGTCTCGGGCCGTGCTGGACGGACTGTCCGCCGCAGGCTTTCAGAAACCCTCCCCGATCCAGCTCAAGGCGATCCCGCTGGGCCGCTGCGGACTTGGTGGGTGCATTAAAGCAGTACAGGCCAGTGCACGTGTGTGTGTGTGTGTGTCTCTCTGTGTCTCTCTGTGTCTCTCTGTCTCTCTCTCTCTTACACACACAGAGAGAGAGAGAGAGAGAGAGAGTGAGAGAGAGTGAGTGAGTGAGTGAGTGAGTGAGTGAGTGAGTGAGTGAGTGAGTGAGTGAGTGAGTGAGTGTGTGAGTGTGTCTGTCTGTCTGTCTGTCTGTCTGTCTGTCTGTCTGTCTGTCTGTCTGTCTGTCTGTCTGTCTGTCTGTCTGTCTGTCTGAGTCTGTGTGAGTCTGTGTGTGTGAGTGTCTCACTCTCTGTGTGTGTGTGTGTGTGTGTGTGTGAGAGAGAGAGAGAGAGTGAGAGTGAGTGAGTGAGTGAGTGAGTGTCTGTGTGTGTGTGGAGAGAGAGAGAGAGAGAGAGAGAGATAGTATTAGTGTATGGAGGGTGTTTATGTAGCTGCTGACTGGATCGGCCCTCTGAATCTGTCATTTGTGCTGTTCGACCAAACACAGCAAGTTTTTATTTGCACCATATTCATATGAAGTCAGTTCAAATACAGTAGCAGTCATATTTCAAATTTAAGCAATTTTGTATTATTACTTTATTTATTATTAACCCAACAACGTATCCTGCAGATGGCACCCAGCTGCCCTGGCAGTAGGGGTATAAGGAAATATGGATACACTTGAGTATGGCAATATTTTTGTATTGTGATATTGTATTGATTCTCACAAGCACTGAATCTATTTTTGTGTGGAAACACCCGACTGTTAGACAGCAGTGTTGTAAACTGAGGGCTATGATGTTGGATGTTATAGAGACTGATAAATACAAATGCACAACCCACTCACAATTTGATGCATATGGTGGTGGTCTTTATATGACAGTTTTCCAAAGAAGAAAATCTGAATCACAATATATCACCTTGATTACAGTATCACACAATATATTGAATATATATCAAAGTCCTACCTGACAGTACTGCACTTAGACTGATACTACTGATCCAAATTGCACTACTAAACAATTCATGACTTACGATCAGGCTAATTAAGGAATGACTGACAGTGCAGGCTCGGAATGGTTCAAGTCAGAGTTGAGAACATTGGCCGATTAATCGCGTAATTGATGTCAAATATTCTCTTCCTCCAGCCTCTAAATTGTAAGAATTTGCTTATTGTCAGTCTTATGTGAAAGTAAACCTAACACCGTGTCTTTATTTTTTAAGGCAGAAATGCTACATAATATATACACATAATGTAGCTTGTCAACTGTGAATGTTTGCTGGTTATCTTATTATTCTTTAATAGTAAACTGAATACTTTTTTTTTTTTTTTTTTTAGACTGGTGGTCAGATAAAATAAGCGATTTTATTTGACCGCACTGCAACCAACAATTATTTTCATTACTCATTAATCAACTGTTTTGTATGTGTCACAAAAAAGTGAAAATGCCTTTTATAACCTGCCACAGGTGGTCCAAAACCTAACCTGACTAATTTCATTCTTTGGCTGATTGGATTAGAAAGAATTAGTGATAACAAAGATAGCGGTCAGTGGATTTTCTCCTCAGCTGAAGGATTTACAGATAAAACCAAAAGATAGGGCTGTGTTGTACTGTTGGACATGAATTCTGGGAAAAGGGAAAAAACAAAAATGAACAAACTGTTCAGTGTTGAATGTGTATGTTTGTGTGAGTTCATGTGCATACAGTCTTATATAGCATCTAGCATGAAGATTTCCAGAATTATATAATAGTCAGTTGTTGATTTACTGATGCCAGCTTAGTTTTTGTCTTAATAATTTGCATGTTATGTGTCTAATGATAAAGGGTCGGTTGACAAGTGACAACTCACCCTGTTACACTTAGGTTTTTGGTTTAATTGGTTGTGAGATATCTGTCACTGAGATTTCTACCTCCACCTCAATAATGGAGGTAAACTGGATTTAGTTTCTTGTAAAATAGGATATTACACTTTATAATGTTTTACTTTCAAAAAACTGAATGTACACCTTTGTTACATAACATGCAACCGGATAAAATCGTTCATCCTCTCATTGGAGATGTAGTTAATTTCCACTTGCAGGTTGCCTGTGTTGTGAAAACGCTCTCGCCTGCAGCTCTGAAGTGGAGAGCTGTTAATCACAGTGTACTTGAAGTAATCACCTGTGATTTGTTTAACCGTGGAAAGGAGGCTCATGATTCGATGCAGCAGAGGAGGCACTCTAGCTGTGAACCATTGTGTCAATATTGCACCTAATCAAATGTAATAAACTGTGGAAGTCAAAACTGTGATTTTGCTTATTCAGACGAATTGTGTGAGCCCTACATTGTCCATCTGCTGTTTCAGATTTGATCGTACAGGCGAAGTCTGGCACGGGGAAGACATGTGTGTTCTGCACCATCGCCCTGGACTCTCTGATCCTGGAGAATCCTGGAACTCAGGTGAGCGGATTTAAATCCAGTGGAGATCAAGACGACCAGTGGAATATATGGAGAAATGTATCTTTCCTGTTCTTTTAATCTCAGTGTTGCATGTGACGGACTTCAGGCATCTTCTAATGAATAATGATGAAAAGAAGGTATTCAGAAGGGGAAACGCAACTTTTATTTTATTTTTTACTTTATCACTGCTCATTTTACCAACAACAGATGGTCATGAGAAGTAATCACTTTGGTTTTGGGGGCTTCTTAAATGTGATGGCTTTAAGCTGCTCAGTGTCGATGAGTAAATGAAAGAGGACTATTATTGATTAAGCATAAAGGTCTTCTTGATGAACGGGCTGCATTCTAGTGCACTGTAATCGTATTAGCTGTGGGGTCTTACAGATTGGGAACTATCCCTACCTATCCTTAATTAATTGGGGGCAGATTAAGAATAGGTGTTAATTAATCTAATTTTCTTAACAAATGCCACCCCCCCCCCACTCCTGCAGGTTCTTGTCTTGGCTCCTACACGTGAGATAGCGGTGCAGATCCACTCCGTAGTGATGGCCATAGGCTGTGCCATGGAGGGCCTTGAGTGCCATGTCTTCATCGGAGGCAGGCCTGTGAGTCAGGACAAACCCCATCTGAAGAAGTGCCATGTAGCTGTGGGCTCACCTGGTAAGAGGCCAACAGCGAGGCATTACGTGTTTATCTAACCAACATGCTGTTATTTGTGTTTTGTAACTATGCTCCCGGTTATGTACACAGGTCGTATCAAGCAGCTTATCGAGCTGGGCATGTTGTCCACCGCCAGCATCAGACTGTTTGTTCTGGATGAGGCAGACAAGCTGCTGGAGGAAGGCAGCTTCCAGGAACAGATAAAGTAAGATGGACGGAGACATCGTTAATCATACTCCTATTTAATTAGACACACGATGCGACAGCAGGCCGGTGATGTTATTCAGAGTGCTTAAAAGACTTAAGACCTTCAAAAACAAATCTGTATGAATGAAATATCACATCTCCGCCGCTCTCTCTCCAGCTGGATCTTTTCCTCTCTGCCTGTGAACAAACAGATGCTCGCACTCTCCGCCACCTACCCAGAATCCCTCGCTCAGCATCTTACCCGCTACATGAGAGAGCCCACGTTTGTGAGACTCAATCCAGGTGACATGGGCCTTAAAGGTAAGACCTTGCTCTGTACTGAGACCACAGTTGCCACAACAAGAATAACCCCAAAAAATCCTATATAAATGGTTTAAAGCATCAGTTTATATCAGGCAAATTAGTTGACCTATCAGCTATATTTAGATCACATATTTAGAATGTAGAGTGTCAAATGAACGCCTGTCCTGGCTAACAGAGACGCCTCATAATAGGACAACATGGACGTGATAATGAAGCTTGTAATGTGACATGTTTTAAAGGCTTATTTCCTGGCAGAGAATGTTATTTCTTCCTGAGGGTGTGAAGTGATTGACAGTAAGCAAAGAGTAACACAAGACTCGCTCTGAAAACAGTCATCTCTCTGACAGAATTACTTACTCTGATGTTTGTAACAGACTTTTTTCACACTGTGTACAAAGTGGACGGTGGAAAATCCCACCAAAATCACTTTGGATGATTTACTTGTCCCCTTGCAAAAACACTGTTTTTCTTTTCAGTCGTTTGCTTGAGTTGACATTCTCCCTTGTATGTTGTCCTTGTGCGCCCCCTGCCAGGTCTGAAGCAGTATTACAAGCTGGTGCAGTCCCATCCACTAGCTCACAAGGTTTTCGAGGAGAAGGTGCAGCACTTGATGGAGCTTTTCAGTAAAATCCCATTCAACCAGGCCCTGGTGTTCTCCAACCTACACACAAGGTGACACATGCTGTTAATGTGTCTTAATGGGTGCTCTCGATGATCTTTATCACCAAGAAAACAAAAAAATCTCAGTTGTGCATTTTGAATTGATACTGAACATTCATAATTTCTGATTGCTGATGAATTGATGATGCATCTCTGAGAAAAAAATTCTTAAACGCTGTTGCTCTGTATTGCTCCCGCAGGGCTCAGCACCTGGCAGACATCCTGTCCTCCAAAGGATTACCTGCTGTTTGTATCTCAGGTGAGCGGACCTTTGGAAAATATTAATGAAATGATTAATCAATTAACAGAAAATCATGTTTTATATTACCTTACATTTCTGTCTTTTGTGTGGTATCTGTCTATTTGGGGATTTCTTTGACTGTTGGAAAGGCATCTGTTTGGGGTTGGGTAATTTGACATCTCATAAATGTAGTAACTAATTGAATACATGAAAAAAATTATTGATTGTGAATATCATTGCTGTGATTTAGGCCTGTTGCTGACTGTCTGTCTTAGCAGAGTTGCTTTCAGTTGATCTGATCTGATGTGACTGTGTGTGATGACCTGTACAGGTGGTCTGAGTCAGGACCAGAGACTGGAGGCGATGTCAAAACTGAAGCAGTACCAATGCAGGGTCCTCATCTCCACTGACCTGGTGACACACACACACACACACACACACACTCACACTCACACTCACACTCACACTCACTCCATTGTACTGCTTTCAATATGTCACCCATCACTAGTGTTATTTGTCCTTTTATTTCTGATCAGCTTCTGTTCTTTAATTCCGGCTGTTTCTCTCTCTCTCTTTTCCTTCTCGTCAGACTTCCAGAGGTATAGATGCAGACAAAGTAAACTTGGTGATAAACCTGGATGTGCCGCAGGACTGGGAGACCTATATGCACCGAATCGGACGGGCGGGGCGCTTTGGTTAGTCTCCAATATCGTTTGGTTATAGCAGAACACAAGCACACTAAACTAAACTAAAAACACAGTCTAAAATAGCTGAAATTTAGTTTTTGCTTGTATTAAAAGAGGAAAGCAAATGCTTTGTTGTGCTGCATTCATTTATTCATTCTTATTTTTCCATTCAGTCAGAATTTTCTTAACATTGCCAAAAAAAAAAAAATCCAATCTTACACAGACCATTGTTGATGTTCAGTGTTGTAGCCCACACAGAAATCACTTTCTCTCCTGCTGGTATTTTGTTTGTATAAAAAGTCTGTAATGTTGCTCTGAATTAGACTGGATTTGCCTGGGCAGTGAGCATTTCCTGGTTCTTTCTTACTGCATTAAACACCATTTTGAGATTAGCTTGGGCCTTTGGAGTATTAGCAGGGTTGACCCACCTAGCAAGGTCAATAGGTTTCCTAATGATCTGCATTTAATTATAATTATCTTGACTTAACTTGTGCGTTGTCTTGGAAACAGAAGGTAATTCAATCTTTGCTTGCACACTGTGTGTGTGTGTGTGTGTGTGTGTGTGTGTGTGTGTGTGTGTGTGTGTGTGTGTGTGTGTGTGTGTGTGTGTGTGTGTGTGTGTGTGTGTGTGTGTGTGTGTGTGTGTGTGTGTGTGTGTGTGTGTGTGTGTGTGTGTGTGTGTGTGTGTGTGTGTCATCCCTTGACACACAACTCGCACACACACCCTTCTTTTATCCCTTCCTGTTATTTGAAATGGGTTCTCATCAGGATTACATTTTATTTGTAGGCACTCAGGGGCTGGCGGTGACCTACTGTTGCCATGGTGAAGAGGAAAACAAGATGATGGCTATTGCTCAAAAGTGCGGCCTGAGTTTGTCTGCGTTGCCATGTGAGTTTTTCATGCAGCATGTGTAACTTTTTCCTCTCTTTGACATTAAATTAAAGCCTTTTGTTTTAATGTGGATAGTGGAAGTAATTCTGGAAATCTTATCTCTCTTCTGTCTTTTGTAGCCATCATAGAGCCAGGGTTGATGAATGAGCCGTGTGACTGGGATGTCTGCACTGAGGCTGCCACTCCGGGCGCCTTATCCCAGCTCTCCTCCAGGACCGATAAGAAGAGGCGTACCAGGTTGGTCACGGATCAAGCTCTAGAGCACAGTGGACAAAGAAAGCCACAGAGGATCCATCCAGCTCCAGAACTGGGAGAACACAGCAGACAAAGAAAGCCACAGAGGATCCATGCAGCACCAGAACTGGTAGCACACAGCGAAGAGAATCCTAGAAAAGTGTCTCCTGCAAAGGACACTCGTCCGCAGAGTCCTCCTCAGGCGGCGCCCACTCGAAAAGAGCTGCAAGACGCTCTGCCAAAGATCCCTCCTCTCAGCTCGTTCAAGAGTTGTAGGTCGACGTTTATGACCTTTGAGGAGGCTGAGCGGGACTTCCACAGCTTCATTACCACAGGATTGGGGAGATCAGTGGAGGTCATCAGGGAGTTCAGAGGTCGAGAGGACAGTGGCCCCGATGAGCAGAATGGGCATAGAGAATCTGTCACACTTGGTGATGACGGTGCTCTTAGTTTAAAACTTGGAAAACGGTGGAAATCTGACTTTTCTTGTCCAAGGTCAACCCCAAGTTCTTCAACCTCAAAATCTGAGTGCGATGGTGAATATAAAGCAAACACTGAGCCTCAGACTGAAGCTAGACAAACACCCACTGTGTCCAAAACAAAGGCAGAGACAACCAAATCTAAAGCTTATGCTTCCTCTGCACCTCAAATATATCCCCAGACAACCTGTGCATCAAATGAGAGAGCTTTGTCTCAGCCCTACAAATCTGTAGCAGACGTTAAGTCGAGCAGGCGACCCAGTCCGACCGGCAGGAACGAATCAAGAAAGATTAAAGAAGAGATTGAGGAACGAGGCAAAAAGACTTCAGAGAAAATGAATGTAGAGCAAAATGAGATGGAATGGGATGAAGGAGAACACGATGATGATGATGATGATGATGAAGAAGACGAAGATGAGGAAGAGGAGTGGAGTGCTGAAATGTACTGGAGAGCCAGCTACAGAGCCTGGAATGATTACTATGCCTCCATGTCTCCTTTTCAAGAGCAAGGTTACCAAAGTTACTACAGCGCAGCACACAACTGGATGGCAGCTTATCGTATGAATGCTGTCTACATGGAAGAACTCCGGAAGTACTGACTGGTCTAATACTGTTAATCAGGACGTTCAGACGGGCTGGAGATATGTGTCTGAATGCCTCCTAAAAAAAAAAAAAAAGACACTTAATTAGGATGGACTTGAGTACAAATGCACTTTTGGTCCAACACATTGCACTTAAATGTCTTGAGTGTGTATTTTTCAACGAATGTCCCAATCACTTGTCTAATAAATTTCCAGTACGGAGCATGTATTTCAAAGCATTCTTCTGTTATGGCTCTACACATTCACATGCTTATAAAAATTGCTTTTTTAAAATAAAGTATACAGGACATCCACATCACTAGGTGTTAATCTAACATGATATTTTTAGAGGAAGGTGAAGAAGGGACCAAACTGTGCAATCTCTTCAGCAAGGCACAGCAAGGTCAGACAACTCCACATGCTCCTGATTACAGGCTAATCAGCCGCTACCTACCATTCACCCAATCAGTGCTGGGCAACACAAAAGGCAAATGCCCTTGAAAAAATTAATTTAAACCAGGGGCCCCACTTCAGCTGTTTTTGACCATCTGTAGCTTTATGTTACCTATTGAAAATCATCATTATGCAACAGAGGTGACTGCTTCCATTGTGCTGGCTGAGCTCAGCACACTGATGTGGACAATTACCAGGAGGAGGATTTGTATAGGATGAAAGATATTTCACAGGCTTCATGAGAGGAAGGTGACATTATGGACGTGCACACTTTCTGGAACCAAACAACCACACACTATGAGACTCTCTTGGATACGATGTTTCTCATATTCAACTGCACAGTCCTAACCTTAACATTAGTCTTTGGTTTACCCGGGAACTTGTGGGTTTGTTGGGTTGTTTTCAGGACCAAGAGCCTGCAGACCTGCAATAATGCGCTGCTGGTCAGCTTGGCCGCTAGTGACCTCCTGAAGTGCTCTGTGGACACACCGCTGTTGCTCTTCTCCTTTCTGCGCTATGGGAAGGACAGCCAGGTGTCGGTGCCTGTGTGCACCCTGCAGCAGTTCACCTATGCCCTGTGCAGCTGCGTCCAGCTGCTCACGCTGGTCAGCATCAGCGTGGAGCGCTTCCAAGCCATCGCGTTTCCCTTTCAAACCGAGAGGAGGAAAGCGAGGGTCCGCCTCTGGATCCTGTCCATCTGGGCATGCGGCCTCATCTTGGCTGTAATCTCTCTGACACTTTCCGAAAAGGCGCTTTTTTACATGCTCTGCCGTCCGCACATCGGGGGGCACGGCGACGAGCGTCTTCGCTATTGGGATCCGTTTGGACCCTACGTACTGGTGCCGGTGTGGGGGTTGTCTCTGACTGTGATCGTTGTCCACTACGTGCGGATATTCAAAGTTGTAAGGCAGCACCGTAAGAAAGTGTTCAATCGGGGAGTCCAGCTGAGGCCGACGGTGTCCGAACACGTATGGGGCTGGATGAGTGTCCCTACTTCAGCACCACGGACAGCTCCGCCGCACTCCTTCAAGACTCTGCCCTCTGTGGGCTCCGGCAGCCCGCTGCCTCCCCGCCGGACGATGCTCTTGGTGGCTGAAGCCGGCGCTCCCCGTGCGGGCTCGTCCACAGGAGGCGCCCCGGGGAGACCTCCAGAGATCGTGGGGGCAGTGTGTCTTCTGACACCTGGGGCCAGGGAGCGGGGGAAGAAACAGATGGAGGGGAAAGTGGCCCAGCGTTTTGGGTACATAATCATTGCGTTCACGCTGTTCTGGGTGCCCATGGTGGTTATTTTGCTAATGAACGTCATCTCGTGGCAGAATACGGACAAAGTGAGTGTAGCAGAGTTTTTTCAGGCTGAAAATGAAATTGACCATATATATATTTATATAAACCCTGTACAGTGAAATATAATCCAATATGACAGTCCTGTGATAAATGCTTGTAATGTCTGAGGTTTCTAATAGTTGTTCAGAGAAGCTGTGCAGAATATTAGAAACATCTATCCAAATAATTCTGTGTAATACAACAAAACCACAGCCTCAAAATAAACCACAGAAACCAAACTGAACACAAAAACAGTAGGTTTTGAGTGAGGTATTTTGGTATGGTTATTACAGTTATTTATATTATTCTGGGCACTGTATAAAGTGCAATGATGCATCATAGTAGTAGTTGGTTAATCAGAAAAAAAAACTACTTCCAGCTTTAAAGATTTGTCACTTTACTGTTTTGAATAATACACTTTCTCTGTCTGGGTTTTGGACTGGGGTTTTTGGGCCCTATAGATCACACAGTAGCTGTCCTACAAAAACATTTTAGAAAGGTATTCCATGTCATTGCATTATCCTAAGTGCTCTCCTGTTGTTCCCACAGTTGCTGATGGAGCTAGAGACATCAGCTATGGTTCTGACCTGTGTGCAGGCTGCAGTGGATCCCCTCATCTACACTTTAGTCACCAGACAGTTTCGCTCTGAACTCAGCAAGATCCTTTCCTCCATCCCAGGGTGTCCCCTAAAACCGAGGGCCTGAACATTTGGATCACATGGACTGCACTTTTGGGAACTGAAAATACCACTGAGTCACTACATTGTGTTTACACACTTGCACACACAGAGTGATTTAGAGGCGAGTGAAGAAGAGAGTCCACATATTTTGTATTTGTGGCAGATATAGATGTTTTATCAGGCGTTTCACAGTTGGGACACAAGACAAGGTCATAAATAATATCCAACACCTGACAAGATACGCACAGCAGTAGTCTCAACAATGACAGGTGGCAAAGGAGGGCAAAGCAAAGAGTGAGAGGAAAACTGACTGAGCCCAGAAAAAAGACAATCAAAGGAGAGTACATAACAGAGAGAAAGAGAGAGAGAGAGAAACACAATTACAGACCTCTGTTTTTGTTGTTTGTAGATAAAAAATGCAATCCTTTGACACTTTGAGCGGAAATATGCTTACATAATAATTCAAACTGTGTCATTTGAAAGTGCAGCTGAGACACAACAACCTGTCCTGAAACAGGGAAGCAGTAAATAAATCACGTTTAATCACTGTCCTAGCAACAAATAATACAGGGAACCTCACTTCTGCCATTACCTATGTCATACCCTTGTTGTGGCTTTCAATAGATCCTAAATGTCAGACTTGATGCTGTGAATATGAAGTCAATGTCTTCAACCCCACTTTTTAAAATTACACTGAAAAAGCTCTGCTTGTCTGTGCTTGTCTTCTTTTTTTTTTACTCCAGGTAAATTTGCGCACAATTTGACTAAACACTAATACTGGATCTAGGCAGCTGTTGTCACTGGGTACAGTACTAAATTACCAGCAATAGTACTAGATCACTGCTAGGAATATCAGACATAAAACTCATCTTGTTTTAACTCTGTAGCATATTTTTGACTTTCTTTGGGTCGATACTAACCTCAGGATCAGAGAGAACTAAAGCTCAACAGAGGAGTCTAAGGGACCTTTGGGTCTTGTGTAGTGATGCGCTGATATGGTACCAATTATGTTATACATTTCCACCCATATTGGCCGATATGATTGTGATATGTGATTATTTTGTAAGTCTTAAAGTACAAATGCATGTGTAAAACTGGTTAAGCTTTTCAGATGTCTCCATCTTAAGGTAATTAAATATTTCTAAAAAGACTGATACATTTTGCTGCTAGTTTGACAGCTGTTTTAAATACAATCTATTTCTACAGAAATAAAATCAGCTACATATGGGCAGACATAGTATTAGACCAATTCTAGTATTGCTTTTGAAATATGCTCTTGGCTGATATGGACAGTATGCCGATATATCGGTGCATCTCTAGCCCCGTCTGTGTGCTCTTAATCAACATTTTATTTCATCTATGTTAAGCAGAAGTGGGTGATTAGTCTGTTCTGACTGAAGCTGCTCTGCCCTGCTTTGGTGGAACCCCAGCATGGTCTCATCTACCCAGAGACAGACCTAACTGTCTGTGTAGCTGTTCGACTCAGAATGACATTCAAGATGAAAAAGGCCAACAGAGAGGAATCAGCTAGGAGGGTAGCAGAGCTAAAAAGGTCAGCGTCCATGGCTACAAAGGTCAACTTTGATGGGATTTGATGGTAAGTACTACTAAAGTTACATGTTGGGGCTGTGAGTTGAGAGAACAGACAGAATAGCAAGTTTTTTTGGTGACAGAGATCTGTGGATGGCTCATCCAGTGTCCTCCATGTCTCTGTGGTCACCGTTACAACAGACTTCCCTGCTTTAAGTTCTCAAGAAGATAAAGTAAATAAAATCCTTTGAAACATCAAGGAGGACAAAAAGTACAAACACCAAGTTTCCTAACCACATAGAGTACACATACTCAACAACTTTGAAAAATGCCCGCTGAGTTTGGGGAAGAAAAAACGTTGACAGCTATAAAGACTACTGAAAGCATACTGTTGTTCACACAGGAGGTAGGGATACAACAGGACAACAACGAGAGAGAAAGAGAGAGAGATAGAGATAGAGAAATGCAGAGAGAGGAAGAGAGAAAGACAGACTGAGGAAGAGAGAGAGAGAGAACGAGAGAGACAGAGAGAAATGCAGAGAGGAAGAGAGAAAGACAGACTGAGGGAGAGAGAGAGAGAGAACGAGAAGACAGCTTCACTGGTTCTGCCAAACGATGGTCAAATATTACAAAATATTCTATTAACAATATTCACAAAGAACCGGGGCTCAGGACAGATTCATGTCAGAAATTCCCAGCAAAATGCCTTGTGCTTTTAATTGTGGTGGTTTGAATTCAAAATGTTTTATTTTTTTGGTTTCTTTGTTAAGAGAATTGAGTTATTTGAGGTCTGTTGGGCTGCAACAGCCAAAAGGGAAAAAAACAGGTAGGAGGATTCAGAAAACTATAAAAACAAATATATCTCTTTTTACTCCAGCAAAACAGGCACATGTCGTGTAAAAGGCTTGTAGCTGAGAATTTCGGACAGAAACATGTACGATGAACCCTTCAGAGTGGCAGCTAGTCAAATATACCATATACTGAGCCATAGAGACTTCCAGAAGAATGGAAACTGAAAACTTTCAGTCAACTGAGACAATTCTCTCTCACACACACACACACACACACACACACACACACACACACACACACACACACACACACACACACACACACACACACACACACACACATACCTCCTATCCAAAACGTCACGATTCCTCTATCTATCAAAAATGTACATATACTCATTCACAAATATGAAACCCATTGGTAACGCCATCACAGACACACCAACCATACTTCATCTTTAACAGAATTTTCACTCAAGTAAAGTGGATCTGAAAAGGAATGGCGCCATATTTATCTATCAACAGGTGACCAAAATGACACAAAACAGAAGGGCAGCATTAAATCAGTGGGAAAAAAATGTTTTGATAATGTATTTTTTCCTTTTTGAGTTTCCTTCCTTTTCCCTTATATCTCCTGTTTAAAAAAAAGACCGTAAGAGTCAAACTGAAGCGAAAATCATAAAAAGGTGCTTTGTGCACAGTGACACATGACTTTCTCTGGGAACACACCCCCGACTCTTGGGTGGCACACTCTCACATGCCTCCTCATCTAAAATGACTCCCTACGCATATTCCCCATTCTTTCACCCCCACACACACACACACGCATACGCGCACACATGCATGCCAACCACTAACATGAATATACTGTATCTAAAAGCCATCCTCCGTCTGTAAAGGGAGTCCATGTCATTACAGTACATGACCAGCAGAGGGCAGGCTCCACCATGGCCAGACTAGGACTCTAAATGCCTTCTCCTCCATCATTTCCAGTCCTCCTCTGTCCCTCAGTCTGTCTCGATGAGTCTTTATCTGTCTTTCTTTGTGATGCGCCTGCACTCTAGTCTTCACAGTGCGGACACCTTCACAACGTTCTGGTGGGTGGGGGCCGCGGGCAGATGAGCATCACCCTCAGGAGTTGTCACTGGCGGTGTGGGAATGCTGATGATTGCTGTGGTGATCTGGCTGCTCTGGCAGTTCAGGGATGCTGGGTCGTCTACGCGCATGTTCAGACTGGAGCGGCTTGAAAGAAAGAAAGAAAGAAAGAAAGAAAGAAAGAAAGAAAATGAAGGCTTAGGATAGTTTGTCCGTGTAGAAGCATTTTGCTAAAAGTTAGCCTAAACCTTTAAAGAGATGGGTTTGTGACTGAAGGTTACTGGTTCATGTCCCACACCAGTTCTGGTTGAGGAAAAGTGAATGATTTCCTTTGACAACCCAACTACCGTTCAAGGTCAAGGTTGCTTTTATTGTCTCCCAAAGGAGAAAACTGTCTTGGAGGTACTCCCTTTTACCCCTTTCAAACAACTCTGGAAAAACACCATTAGCGTGAATGGGTCAAGATGTTTAATGGAGCTTTAAAAACCCCCCAGGTATAATTGTGAAAGTGTTTGTTGTAGAGTCAATCCCACTGAGAATCAACACCCAACTCTGTCTTACACAGCTTTCAGCTGCTAATGAAATTGCAGCAAGTTGTTTCCTATAAACAAGCTTAGACAGAGAGCCAAAGTAAACTGTGAAAAAAGCTGAGTGTCAAGCAAACTTAATACCCTCTAATATTTGAGTTGATGGACCAATCGAGAGCTAGCCAGTGAGGGAATATTTGATTTACATTTGTGAGTTGGCCAAAAAAAACAACAACTCCACTGGGATACTCATGTTTCTCTGTGTCTTCTGGGTGTGTAAGTATACAGTTGTTTGCAATAGAGCTGCAATTATTTATTATTTAATTTGCAGAGAAAATTGATTAGTCAATCGATTGAAAAAATAATCAGCAGCTATTTTCATAACTGATTAATTGTTTTAGTAATTCCTCAAGGAAACAGTAAAGATTAGCTGCTTTTCTTTGTCATATATTACAGTAAACTGAATATCTGAATTTCAGGTTGAATAAAACAAGCTATTAAATACAAATCCTTGAGAAGTAGGACATTCTAACAAGCCTTTTCCACTATTTTCTGACATTTTATAGACAAACGATTTATTGATTTGTTGAGAAAATAATCTGATTTAGCCCTTGTAAAAGGACTTTGTAACGTAGGGACAAAATTGTCAATTAATTACATGATGGATAATTGAGCTAATGTAGAAAGCTTGGTTTGTTGTCTCTATAGCCACTAGCTTCAAAAGTGAATCTGGTTAGAAGTTACTTGCTAAGATGTTTCACTACCAGTACAGATGATGAAAGCCACTGTCACAAGCAAAAATATATCTACTTTGTTGAAAAAAAGAAAATCTTGATCAGTGAATCATCATCTTCTCTTCACTGGCTTCTGAATACAAAAGCTACTGAACAAACTGATTGCAGAACTTTAACATCATAGCAGGAAGGATATTTAGAGTTCTTTTGAAATCCTAAGCTCACCTGGTGCTGAGGGGCTGGATGTGGATGGTGCTGAGCTCTTGCAAGCCTTGTTGGTGTGTGTGCGTGTGTGTCAAAGGCTGCATGTGTGCTGGGGCACTGGCATTCGGTAAAGGGGTGTGGTGCTTCTTGCTTCGGCGGCTGCAGCATGTGCCTGTCACGCCATCTTGGCTGGAGAGGGAGGGGCTTCGAGAAGGGTAATTCTGCAGCCCCGCCTCCAGATAGCTCTGCTGGTAATACTGCTCATCCACAAACTCGTGGTTCTACAAACAAGACAAAGAGAGCGAGGCCGGCAAGGGGAGGAAGACAAAGAGAGAGTCATAAAAAAAGATGTGACATTTATACTGTATATGGCTTGATATAGCCTGTCATTTTCTGCTTCATAGGGTTCATAACTCCTCTGAGAATGTGTTTGGCTTTGTGTGTGTTGTGTGTGTGTGTGTGCACGCACACAGCTAAAAGTATGTGTTACTGTGTTGGAGCTCAGTTCATAATCAATTCTACTTTGTATGTGAAAGGGGGCACTTGTAGCAATGAACCCACATCTCCTGACTCTGCAGTTTATATGCTATGCTATGACCCTATGTTTATATAACTTTGGGCCCATTGTCTGGGTTTTGGCAACCGTTTGGTTGGCTCTCATCAGCTTTGTTTTCAGCCACAGCAAGCAGATGTATTGAGTGAAAAAACTCCAAAAATCACTGTACCTTACCTGCCCAACTCTAAATTGCAAACAGTCAAGGTTAACAGCTAACTGGTGAACAACACAGTGGAGCATTTAGCAGATTAAGAGCCGGATATTTCCCTTGGGAGCTGATGGAAAGCAAAACAGAGCTAAAAGGAGAGTGAATATTGAACTTAAATTCAAGTCAGGTGGACACAAACACAACTCCAAACGAAGCTGTATTGCTCTACTGCCTGTGTAAATAAGCAACTGTTTGCTAACATATTCTCTACATCAATTTTAAAGCTGATAATATATAAGTGTTGTGTTTACACTTCATTTCAGCGGCCCTAAAATTGGTTACTTCAGGTTAAACTTCACATTCACACTGACCTTCATGTGTTCCATTTTCACAAATATACAAGGTTAAAAATGAGTGTGTGCAGCCGCAGTGTATGTTAGATAGTTTTGTTTGCCAAGCCCTGAGTTGTGCCAGGCTGAAACAGCGCATCTGTATCACATACAGGCAGACGAGCGTGTATCATAAGGGAAATGCAGTGTACCGGACAACACGCTATAGTGGGCTGCACTTGCTCATGTACATACAAATATTGCAGATCTATACACATTAAGCCTGGATGTCACTTATTTTCCCGTAATGAGCCACAGCTAGAGAAAATATATGGATGATTGCACAATGTGAAGTTTATCCTAATATTACATTTGTATTTTAAAATCTATAAAGCAACTTTATTTTTTATGAGTCTGGAAAAAAATACAGGTTGTATACATTGTTTTGGTTTATCATTAATAGAGATCTGAATGTGTGTGTGTGTGTGTGTGTGTGTGTGTGTGTGTGTGTGTGTGTGTGTGTGTGTGTGTGTGTGTGTGTGTGTGTGTGTGTGTATGCACTCACAGTGGTTTTCTCCAGACAGTGCAGCAGGTGGTGGTGCTGGCTCTCTAATAGAGAAGTAGACTTGCTTAACCGCTGCTCCTCTTCAGTGGAATTCTGTAACACACATGCACACACAGTGAGTGCTATGCTACATTTTCTTTGAGGAAGACACTAATCAGATGTGGGAGGTGTGCGGCCTGCTGCTGTCTCAGTACCTGATCTGAAAGGTTCATCTTGTATGGAAGTTGCTTCAGTTGGAGAAGGAGACAAAAAGAGAACAGACAGGTAGAGTTTTACTAGTGTTCATAGGTCAGTACCCAGAACGGACACCCACCAGGGCTGCAGTCACGCCAGTCAGACACAGGAACATTGCTTTTCCGACCCTGTGAGGCATGTCTGCTAACATCAGTGGAGCCAGTGCATTGATCTGTGCTGTAAGGGAGACTTCTAGCAAAACTCAGTCCTAATGGATATACAGTATATACAATTCATGTAAATAATTTCCATCGTGACATTTTGCCTCCATCTCTGTTATTGCAAAGGCTGGCTACGGGCAACTCCTTAATGACTTATTTTCCCTATTCCTTATTTTTTATGCTGTGGCCTGTTAATGTGTTTGTTTGTGTGTGTGCGTGAAAACAAGTGGGTGCTATCTCTAGTTCTGTGGTGGTTTGGATACAAAACTCATTTCTGGGCAGTGGTGAGGTGAGTCAGATAGACTGTTGAGGAGCCTTGTGGATCCTCCACGAAAGTAAAGAAACCAGAAAAAAAAATAACAACATTTGATTGTAAATATTCATCAGTTAATTTCCTTATATTTGTCCATGCATATGTTTATTTTGTTTTATTAGTCCAATAAATCATTTGACTGTCATGAAACATTTGCTCTGTGCAGAAAGATCATATTCAGAAACATAAACCTTAATATAATAATTGCCGTCATCTAACATTGTGTTATCTGCTTCCTTTATGTACACCAGGTCTCTCAGTTTATATTAAGAACTGATCTCTTTTTAATTTATATTTAGAAGAATAATTAATCATCTAAACAGGTTTTGGGAAGAGCCATTACACAGAAAAAACTGATTACTTTGCATTACTGTTATAAATAGTAGCCATAATATCCTTAGCTTGAGCTTGGGAGGATGTCTCTTCAGTATATTGCAGTACACCATCATTGTTCTTGTCAGAAGTAAAGCAGTGTTTCACATACAGGCTTTCAATGGGTTGCATCAGTCTTTCCCAGCAGAATCTGTAGTTGAGCTGTTTATAAAAAACAAAGCCAAAAAATACTGCCCTGATCCTGCATGCTCCACAGCACTGCCGAAAGGCAAGTAAAATGCCATGTTTGGAAGATTTGTAGTAGCAATTTTCTGTTTGTTAAGCGGGTGGCTGGTGCTGTAAGCAGAAGCTTCTTTGCTGAGAGGGTGCATTCCTTCGCTGATGACTCGGTTTGTCCTAGCCAAGACCACTCACCTGTGTTCATGCTGCTTCGCTATACCTAACACAGCAGTAAAACAGGTGTTTAAGCTGAGTTATTTCTGTCTATTTCTCTATACATGCGACTGCAAGCCCATATCAGCAGTCTGTCTGGAGGCGGCTATGGCTCACCACCCAGGTGGCCACCATACTGCAGAGACAGGAAACAGCTTGATCTGCTGAGCGACAAAACACACTGTGTCGCCCTGCATGGTGTTGTACATGTTGTTAGTAAATAGCTGCCTTAGAATTATACTTAAGTTGGACAACAATTAAGATTTTATTGAGCAGGCATCTTTAAATGAGCTGGTAATTGTTGACTATTGACATGAGCAGCCAGTCAAAATGAATGTGATACAAGACACATAATATATTAAGTAAAGGAGTGTATCTGTACAAAGAAGTAAAAAAGTCTTGAAATACTGATAATGTTGGATCTTATGGGGGAAAAAAGTTATCTCATTCAGGTTTTCATGATAAACCCCATAATCATTATATCGCACACCTTCTTTTTGCATTAAAGCAATGTTTGTTACTAAAGTATTCATCACTACAACAACAACAACAATATACTGAAGAGGTGCATGCATTGCTTTATAAAGTAATAATTAGATAACATAATAATAAGTAAGTAATATAAACCATAAATAAATGTCTTTTTTGAGTGTCATAAATAAAACAAACAGCAAAAGGAGTGTTCTTGTTTATATAAAAATTCATTATTCATATTATATTTAAAATTCAGTTTCTCTTAAGACTGTCAAGAAGTAATCATAAATCTTAAAAGACAACTTAATCATTAAGGATATACTGTGCAAGCAAGCTTTACTCATGATGTACACTTTGCTGGCCATTAAGTTAAATGGAAACATATCCACATATATAAAAACAACACTACAGCGGTTGCAGTATATTGTCTCTTAAGGCAATATCAATATGAATTAAATGCATTATTCAGTATAAGCACTGGTGCTGTTCATATTCTGTCCTCACCAATTGTTATTGAAGGGAGAGAGAGCTATAGAGACACATAAAACGAGAGAGAGGGAGCGGGAGGAAGAAGCACTTGTTTTTGTTTTTGCACTGTGTCAGCCCCGGGCCACTATAGTGCTTGTGAACCGCAACATTTTGGTGAGGCGAGGAACATCCTTGAGTTGTGTTTACATTTCCTGCCGCATTGCCTGCAGCCTGTTCCTCAGCTGGGCAGCTGGGCTCAGAGATGCTCACATTAGAAGTGCCGCTTATCGAATGAGATCACAGTTAGCTGCTCTGATGGGATGCTGGGTGCATTCTAAGAATTGATAATTAAAGGAGGGAGGAGCAAAGCCTGCATCCAATAACTTAGTTATTAGCCACTCTGAAATCCTTTGAAACTGTTTTTCGAATGAGGCGCAGAGGTCGTCAGTAAATATGTCATATGTGGTTGGGTAAATCTGAGGAAAAGTATGATCAGACACAAGTGAAGCATTGTGATGTTTGTGGTTCAGAGGCTGGTCTTACCGTGAACTCCAGAGCTTCGTTGAACAGGCCGTTGCGCTTGCTGTGGAGGAAGGCATTGGAGCCTTCCGTCTTGGTTATTCGTATCCTGGCCAAGCGGGCTTTCTGCAAAGAGCAAGAGAGCACAGAAGCCACCTGTTAGTCAGTGCCTATACCTCACCCTATGTCAGAATGACTGGGTATCATCCTGACACATCCCACTGATTTGAGCTACAGCACTTAAACATGCCTGACATTTTAGTTGAGATCTTATAGATCAAATCAAACATGTGCTGCTAAAGCATTCACTCTGATTTCCTGTGATGAATTCACTCTGATCTCCTCTGATACTTATGAATGATTTATGGTGACTACACGATAACATATTCCTTGAAAATCAGTTAGAGAGCCAGCTAGGAGTAGAAAAGGTAAATCCTGTTTGAATTAGGCAGCTATGTGTCATTCTGTATTTAAAAATTTAAATTCAATTTATTTAGGGTCTTTCTGTGCTGCTACGTTTGCGGTTTTGTTTAGCAAAATAAATCAAGTAAGTGTCCAGGCCCATAATGCTCTACATCGTTAGTGTCGGCTTAAATACATCTTTACTCTTCAAACCCGGTTAGTGCACAGTCCAGTCTCTTTTTCCTTCTCTTTCTCTCACGCTGTCAAATCTCTCCTGTGAGGCACTCAGTAAAAGAGATGAATAAGAAGAAGAGAAGGAACATGAGAAAGCACAGATACACTCTGCTCCTTGGAGTGAATTCTTTATACATCAGTAGCTCTGACACAGTGGAAGGATTCTTCTCCAGCGTCCTGGTTTCTGCTTTACCCGAAGCGCGCTGTGTCTACCCAATGTGTGTGAAAACATGTCTGAGAGCGGATTAGTGTGTGTACACAGGCCTGTGTGAAAATGTGGGTCTCAATAAATCTCTCAGTTACCAGAACAACTGCTTTTACAGGATAGTGTAATCTGAGTCACTCACTTCTCAAAGGCCCGCCATTTTCCCGTCAAAGTCAAGAGTTGGGTGTCAGGCTCGGAGCACCTACAAATTGTGTGCATTTCTGTTGCTTCGCTTTCTGCATTTCAAAATAGAATAACGGATTCATTGAGGGAAAATTGGTAGAGGGATAATGTGAGCTGTGTAAATGATGAGCAGACAGAGAGCCCGTTTAGTAGGGGGGCCATGCACCGCCAGGGGGTTAATTGAGTGTGTGGATGTGTGTTTGCATATCTCCATGTGTGCTTATGCATGCACGCCTCGTCTTCATTGCTGGATTTCCATACATATACATATACATACGGGCCATATAGAGTAGCAGTAATATTTGGCTCAGTGAGAGTATGGTAATGTATGGTAATTCAAGCTCATCCCCTCACTTGAGTTTCATTTAAAACATGGTAATGTTTGTTGACCTGCAGGTAGCTCATGCTGTGTTTTAGTCATCTAAATATAAGCAGGGGAAATAAACCTAACTGTATGTAAACACACAGATGCACATCGGCCAATCTATTGGCTACTATAGCTTCTATAGCAGAAACGTAACTCCCTCCTCAAGCCATCAGCGTGTATCACATACATGCTTAAATCAACAGGTCTTTCTCTTAAATGGTCACTTGCACCTTTATGTCAAATTGTTTTTAATTTACTTATTCTGTCTCAATGTGATCAAATGTGTTTTATTATGATTATGCTGTGGTCTTACTGTGTATGCTACTGTTTTTATTGTGGATTTTATGGTGTCTTTATGTCTGGGGCACTGAACCAAATGAATTTCCCCGAGTGGGATAATAAAGTTGATCTGAATCTGAAATTGTTTACCTTCTCCTGTTCTCCACCATCTTTATCTTTTTGTCTCTTTCACCCCTCCGCCTGCTCTCCTTGACAAGTTTTCCTCACTCTCTTTGTGCCCTCTAACACCTATGTACATTTGTGCTGGCACAGCATTCCCACAGGCCTTTGGGATAACCCTTCTTTATGTTCTGGCATTGTGCGCAGCCAATGGGATTGTCTCTCTGGGGTCATGCAAACAGGAACCCGTGACTGTAGCGATGGTTGCCAGGCAGCGCAAGGGTAATGGAGGGGATGTTGAGAACGATGTCCTATGAGATTGAATCTACTTCTGCAGTTCTCTGATAGATTCCTGGGGCCTTTGGGACCCTGGGTGCTTGTGTCTAAGGCCCATCTGTGCTTGCACGCAGAGCCACGGCACGACAGATTGAGCCTGAATTGCTGCTGAAGCATCATTGAGAGCACACAGGAGTGTAAAGAAACCATGGACACAAGACTTTCATTAACACCTACACATACACAGGATACCATGTGGAGGGTTACATGGCCAAAAAAATTATCTGCTGCCTATTCCTTCACACAGCACACAGAGTGAAAATTAAAGATATACAATTTCTCAGTATTGGAACGATATTTAACCTCACACAGAATGTACTTTAGGTCATGGGTTCAGAGAAAGCTGTCACATAACAGATGATTCAACATGAGACGTTACATAATTAAGTATATTTTGAATGCAAAATTTGTCTGTCGTCGCTCCAAAGTACTGTACATTCAAATATTCAGACCCTTGACACCGTTTAAAAACAAATGAGGGTCTAATTAATATATATTAGGGGACAGTAAGTCCTGTCCCACTGTGTCCAACAAGAATCACATTTACTAATTTAGTCATCAATTTTTGCAGTCAATAATGTGTTTTTTAATGTATTGATAAGAGTAAAAAGGGGGGTCACCCCTATGTTCCCCGGGTCCTATGTTCCCCGCTAAGGTTAGGGTTAGGGTTAGGGTTCCCATACAAAGCGGGGAACATAGAACCCGGGGAACATAGGTACACTCCCTTAAAAGGGGAGCCAGCCAGTTGGAAGGTTGTGTCAATGTCTATTTGATTGACAGGAGCTGGCAAGCTAAGCCACGGCAGGGGAGAGAGCCAAAATAAACAAACTAAGGCTGTAGCTTAAGCAATGGGCAGAGAGTGTGACGTTAGCAGTGATACTGAAGAGTAAAGCCCACACCAGCATCTCAACAGACGGAAGTGATATTTTTATGCACATTTACATGCTGTTTACTGTGCTGCAGCTGAGCACCTTATTAGCTATTTAGCCAGCAAACTGATTAGCAGTGCCCTTTCCCCCCTGGTGCATGTTTGTTTGGTTGCTCGTTCAACAGGCGAAAGTTCAGGACAAGATGTGTATTCATGTTTGTAAGTTAGATAAGGAGGAGACTTTAGCAGGAAAGATAATGTGGCTTTTGTGTTGTGTAGCAGGCTGCTGTCTAGCTGTTAGTCAGTGTCACTGTCTGCCTATGATAGAACCCCGATGTTACTGCTTCATGCAAATATGAAGCATTTTCATTGGCTGTATGCAAATAAGTTCTCCATCTATCTCGGCAGAGACTAATTCATGCAAAAACGCAGGGTGCAAACATAAAACCAAAAAATAAAAAATATAAAATTCTTACTAGCAGGAGAACTGGGATTTAACAAGCAGATACATGTATGCTGTAGCAGCCAGGCTGAAAAATGCAATTCAGTTTCAGTTGAACTGAAGCAAACAACTCGGAAAAACAGTAGCTTTCAAAGATCCAAAATACTGTAACACCTGCCAACCAATCATATTAGTAAGCTCAATATCAGTGGTTAAAATGGTCCAGATGTTTCCACACACCCAAGGGCCAATAAACTGATCCAAATGCCTTTTTTTTTCTTTGTTTCTCTTCTTCCTGCCACAGAGCTGTAATTTAGGATCAATCACACTTTAAAAGATTATAGCTATAAGATGCAAGCCAGCACAAATGCTTTTTTTTAAACACAATTTGCTGCCAGCTAAGGGATCGAAACTGGCATATCCTCAACTGATCAAAAAATGCTCCATATTCACTCAGCTCCTATGCCATACTCCGCTGAGGATTGCCAGGAAGTTTTCTTAGAAGTTCTTTTTTTTTTTACTTGTTGTTGAAAGTAAAAGTTAAAAAATTCATGGCACCTTGTAAGTTACAGCCTTGCTAGACTGCACATATAGGATTAGGCTGAGTGAAAAGTGGAGCAATTGAGCTATGAGACCAGATTAGGTTCTTCCTCAGGCCTGCCTCGGAACCATATAAGTGAAAGAGGAGACCATCTGATGAGGGAACACACACACACACACACACACACACACACACACATAGCTGTGGAAGAGTCTGATTTTCTTTTGCAGCTGCCACTCATCTCTAGAGTTGTTTTTATACATACTGACATTTCTGCCACAAGTAAATAAGTTACTTCCTCTGAGGTATGTTGCTTTACAATACCACCCACACCCACACATACGCACCGCACGCACGCACGCACGCACGCACGCACACACGCACACACACACACACACAACCTGAGAGGCGGTGGCACAAACAAGAGGAGGGCCAAAAAGAAAAGGAAGGGAGGAATTTGGGAAAAACTGACTTTTAGAAAATCCATCTGGGAGTTGATGAAGGCAGGAAACTCTGGATGATGGCAAAAATTGATTCAGTGGAAATCAAGTCCTCTGACACCTCTGGTCCACAGATATCTGCCTCTGTAGCAAAGACAGCTTAACCTCGGACTAACACCACTCAGAAATAAAATACCTTTGCTAAGCCTGGATTACCTCCTCTTTATTGAGAAAAATACTGCTCTGCCTGCGAGCTGCTGTGATGCGGATGTTTTTTTTAACAAAGGACATAATTCATAGCAGAACTCCTGACCCCCCTCAGTGAAGTCCCCAGTCAGCATCCCTCCATCTCTCTTTTTGGTCTGCCTTCTTGCAAAGTGCAGACGACTTTATTGATTGTCTAGAAGGGCAAAACACTCTTAGCCAGAAGTCATCTCCACCTTTTGACTTCAACCTTCTGAGGGAGGGCTATAAACAATAGTGAGATGATTTAGAGCAAAAGAAGTGAGGCTGAGAGGGACGGAAAGAAGGGGGGGAGGAGAACTTGTTTTTGTTTTGTTTTGTTTCTGCCATGTAAGCCCCGAGCCAATGTGATGCTCATGAACCGCAACAGAGAGTAATTTTACTATTCACTAAGTCTGAGGACAACAACTGGTCGAACCAGAGGAAGATTTTCAGCCAAAGCGGGAAAAAGACAATAAAATAAAGC